AAAAATGATAGGCCGGAAAGTAAGGATGTTTTTGGATATGTTAATACCCAGTAAAACAGAGATAGTTGTGGAGGCTATTGATAGAAGAGAATTGGAATATACTGTGGGACAGTTAGTATGGATTAGATTACATGGAAGTAATGGGAGAAAGGAGTAGTAATAAAAAATTTGGGAAACAAATTAAATAGGGTAAAATTTGATGATAATAGTGAAGGTATCAGGCACAGGGATTAATTACGGAAGAGAGTGCATAGAAATGGTTAAAAGAGGAATTTGTAAAAAAGGAAAATATTTAAGGAAAGTTCCTGGTAAAGATGTAGATTTCAATGGTGTAAATAATCGTGTAATCAAGAAGCAATCACTGTTCATGTAAAGAGTCTTGAAATCAAGAAGCAACCACTGCCCACATACATCGTATGTCCAATGTAAAAGAGGAACGACACAATGTTAGGATGACAACAAATTTATGACGGATACTACGAAAATCCAATAAATGAAAGGAGGATGGCAAAGTTAGAATTGACCCTCTAAAAACAATACTGAGAGGATTATCAAGATCTGATTGAGTGCATGAAGTGATAAAGAAGAAATAAAGACATAAAAATAATGTATAAAAAAAATATGTAAATCATTTATTGAATGTTTATACGCTGATTAATTTTTTTGCTAGAGTGATATAAAAAATGTATATAATTTTGCCCAGGATTTTTGCTAAGAGGGCGTGTTGTAGTATTATGTGTATTTAAATTATTATCACAATAATGTCAAGGATATATTGTATTTTTATATGAAAAAGAAATAATGTCAAGGATATATTGTATTTTTATATATGAAAAAGAGATAATGTGAAGGTTGTAATATATTTTTATGTGAAAAAAAGAAAAAATGTTTTTAGTTAATTTTTTTCGCCTAATTATATTGATTTTTGTTTCATCGCGTAGTTTGAATAATAATTTTTTTTATGAAATAATTTTTTTTTATAAAGAGTATATTATAGAAATAAAAGTATAAGTGTTTTACCGTTTAATTAACCAAATCTACAAAAAGTTATAAGAGTCTGCTAAGAATAAGAGTTAAGATAGCTACAATTACTTAAATTAATTTAGTTTATAGACTATAAGTATTCCAAAGGTAGGTCACAAACCTCATAATCTTCATTTAGAACCGCGGGGCTCAATATTCAGACCATAAATCCTAGGCGGAATTATTCTCCTCACCCTTGCTGCTAACGAAATACTGAAACAAGTTAATTATGCATTTTTAGAAAATGTTATTTTTTTAATGTTCGTTTCTATAATCACCTTAGGCAAGCCGATTTCAAAAAACGCAAACTATTTATTAATGTCCCCTTTAGGTTCAAAAAAATATTATATGGTGTAGACGGTAATATTTAAAAATTATTTTACAACTATAATCAGACGGAATATTTTAACCGTTTTACTCACAACCCCATGTATTCTAATTAAGCTATAAACTTCCGACCATTTTTATCTTATAGCTATGACATTAAGGAACATATTCATATTTTTTTAAAATAATTATTTCTATCTAAGACAAAAAAAATACCCTCCAAAATCTGGATCCCAATTGCATTTCTATTCATCAATAATTTACAGCCATTTAAAGATAGAATAAGTATATATATTTTATAAAAATATTAATTCTTTTTTAAATTTATGTTAGATTATACTTTATTTTAAAATAGGATATATGCACTATTGAATTAAAAATATATATTAAAAAACAAATGAGTATATATTAAAAATTTAAATTTAAAAATCTAGGAAGGAAAACATAAAAAAGAACTAAGAGAAAAAAAAATATTAAAAAGGGAACATATCACCCTAGAGAAGAGTGAATACTTAAAAAATTGGACCGACAGATTTCCAGAAAAATCTGCTGACGAAGGTAAAATCTTTGGGGTCCCTGAGATCTGTCTCACTTTTTTCCTATGATTTTAATGAAATTAAGGGCCTCACTTCCAAATATGCCTAGGGTATTATTATACTTTAAATATTTTTATTGATTGTTCAATTATAAAATAAAATAGATTATAAATACTTTTTTTTGCACAACATAAAAATTTAATAAAATGACAAATTAATTTCTTTATAATTGATAAATGAGGTTAGATAAAGCCGGAGAATCTTTTTCAAATTTTAGGAACTAACCTTTCTCACACTTGTAAGATTTAATATCTACTTGTAGTATATAAAATTATATTGAATTAATTTAATGCTAATGACATTCTCCTAGTATCGTGGAAAAATCATCTCTGTTGGGGTATGAGAATTATCGTAAGTAGAAGCTAAAAATTACAAAGTAAACTATGAATACTCTAATTAAAAGTACAGTGTATCACATGCTGTACTATTTTCATTCAGAAATATAACATTTTTTCAATTATATTAGTCTGAGCATCCTTATTATCTTCTCGCATAATCCTTTGGTCTAAAAAATTAAGTTTGATAAAATGTGACTGATTCTCCAACTGATTAATAACTAGAGCCCATCATCTCATAATTATCATTTAAATTAATTTTTTGAAGCCAATAATTTGAAATAGATAATGTTTTGGTATATTTCCTGTGAATGAAATAATGTAACATTTGTCATAATCGTCAATTTTTAACTATTTCATTTTTTTCTAACGAAGATAGTTTAAAATAGATATTTAAGGGGAAAGATGATATTGAATATTGTCATAATTCTTATTTTTTTTTTACTATTACAATTTTTTATTGTTAAAAATGTATTATAAAATTACTAATAAAAAGAATTATATTTATTAACAAATATTTTTATGACCATATATTAAGGCCAAATAAAGGAAATTTATAATTAAATTTTTAAATTGCAAATTAACCATTTATTTGTCAATACTAAATAGATAATAACCTATAAAGAATATTGTAAATAAAATCTTAGGCTTAGTCAGAATTTTCCTAAGGGAATGAAATTAATAAATTTGTGAAGCCCCCCCCCCCTCCCTCAAACCCCTCTTTTAATTTGCCCGGCCTATGCAGGGTTTCTTTAGCCTATATATATAACAAGAAAATATTTATATAGAATAGGAGGTTAATTTTAATAAAAACAACTTATTCTCATTAATTAAAATTAATGTTGTTAAACGGCTCGCTTTGAGCCGATTTTATAAAAAGGCTAACTCAATATTTCAGTGAGAAAAATATTTCCTATGCCTCGAGATTTTGATAATATATGTCTAGACCTTTGTTTTTTCTATGAGCAAAATCTTCAGGCTAGAGTTATATTTTTCTGGGTAAAATAATTAGTTAGCCGTTTTTAAAAATCGGCTCAAAACGAGCCTTTTAACCACACTAATTAAAATGCACGAAATTTTTACCAAGAGTTGGTTTAAAAAACTAAGTCTGGAACAAATATCAAATTTATTTTTATTAGTTTGAATAAAATATAATAAATTCATATATACATTAATATATCTTAAATAATATATTTAGTTTATCACTTTTTTAATTTTTTTTTAAAAAAAATATGAATTATTGTCATTAGTTATTTAAAAAATTTATTAACTTATACATTCTTTCTTTCAAATTATTTTTGATATATGTATATATTTTTATTTTGTTTATAACTCGGTTCCTTTTTTTGTGGGTCAAAAACTGAATGAAGAATTAATAAGTACTAGCTGTCACTAAATAGTAGCGCAAGTCAGATATTTAGATATTCTATATTTTTTATTTTAACAATATGTCAATTTTAGCAATTCTTATTAATTTTGCTTACAACTATTATTCTTTATTATCAACTAAAAAGATTAAAGTTAAATATACAATATAATTTTTGAAAAGATTTTAGAATAAATGTCTAATATCACTTTTTAATCATAAGATTGGTTAAAGCACTCATAAGTATTAATAAAAACCTCAAGAATTTGCATATATAAAAATAGGGCTTCAAATTCCTAGCCAACTTTAACGGAGATTATATAGATATTTTATATTTTACGGTAAAATCAAAAATAATACCTAATCAGAATTTTTCATAGAGGAAAGTAAATTGGTCCAAGAGAGGGTCAAATGGAGGTTTTGCAGCAAAACCATAAAATATTTTTAGTAACCTCCCTTAAAATTTTTGGCTACCCAACTGCTATTATTATAGGCGATATAAAGGGGAGAGAGGTATGGAGACATTTCCTCCCCTATTACTTTAATCTATTACCCCCCCCCCCCTCCCCAAATCTCTATCTCACCTAAAATTTAAAATACATATCGAAAATATAGTCGTAGCCACTAATCAAAATTTTACCACCTTAATCTTTAGGAGGCCTGTGAATCCACCTATTATAGAGTTTTGGCTATGTTGAATTACTAAATTTTAGATTGGGCTTTCATATTTTTTATCAAAAATGTTTTTTCAAAGAATCTTGTTTTTTTTATTATATAAATTTTATCTTTTAAAAAATAGTATGATATATAAATCAATATTAATTAAAATAACATTTAAAAAATTAAAATGACATTTAAAAAATTAAAATGACATTTAAAAAATTAAAATGACATTTAAAAAATTAAAATGACATTTAAAAAATTAAATTGACATTTAAAAAATTAAAATGACATTTAAAAAATTAAAATGACATTTAAAAATTTAAAATGACATTTAAAAAATTAAAATGACATTTAAAAAATTAAAATGCCATTTATAAAAAAATTATGTAAGCAATTTAAAAAAGACAAAAATACAGTCGTTGTTATAAATATGATTAAATTTTACTTTTCTTTCAAATTCTAGTATAATATAGAGTGTACATTTTGGGGGATAGGGGAGAGCTTATATTCTTAAAATGTTAAAATTTCTGACATGAATTTATGCTTACCCCACCCCTCTGGTTACGTCTCTGCTGAAATCATAATTCTATAAAAAAGTTAGTATATTTAATAATTTTTCAAATATTTAGAACACTATCTTGTCAAATATTAAACAATAAATGATGGGTGGCAATCATATAATTTTAGGTAGTTTTTTTAAAATTGCATGGAAGAAAAAGTGAGCAGAAATAACTTAACTTTATTATGTATATTGTTTATTTTTATTCTTTTCCACCTTTTGTTAAAATTTTGCACCTCTTAAGACCTTAATTAGGCGTACAGTTAAGATTTTATAAATATAATGATGAACATTTTATAGTTTATATTATTTTCAACAAAATTTAACATTTAGTTTTGTAGGTGTTATTGGATATTTATTATTGTTCCCTATTATTTTTTTTTAACTATTTTTTTCAGGTATTTTACCAAAAGTTGATAGCTCACCTTCACGCAGCTAAACTCTATGAATCCCTTTCATTAAGGCAAAAGGTTTTAGAGACAATTCCAGTTAAAAGTATATTGGAATATCTCATATAATATATATTGTCTTGATTATATTAAATAATATGTTATAGTAATTAATTATGATATACGTATTCTACCTTTTTTTAAACAGTTTTTTTTGACTGAAACTGAAAAATTTTAATTTTTCTTTATATCATATTTACTAAGTCATTTCTTATAAAACAACATTTAATAAAAACACTTAATTATTGAAGAACTAAAAGAAAGAGCAATTTGTGCCCACAAAAGATGCTTAAAACAAACTAATACAAAATCTCTATCTGATATAGACAAAAATAAAATTCCAAATGTTAGGGATTTTTTGGCTTTAATCCTAGCTAAGTGGTTCAAGGAAGACTTTTTTGAATGGTTTGAGCCCTGGTGTTGTCCTGAATGCCTCATTAAAATGACTGGTATTGGTCAAAAAACTATAAATGCTGGAGATCAATACAAAAATACAGAAAATGCTATCATAAGAGTTGAACTCTATTGTTGTCCTAATGCTACTAGCTTTGGATTTCAAAGTTTTTTGAAAATATTTAATCAACATATAGAGTAAGATGTTTAAAATATTATTACTCAAAATCAGTGACCCATTTTTATTGTGTTATTTTGTTTGTTGTTAAATGGTGTTTTGTCTTATATTTAAGCAAAAAATTTTTACAAGTCTGGAGATTTTGTTCTTAAATGGCTGAAATGTTTGGATTAACTGTATTTGGGTCAGGCCTATTCTTTTTAAAATATGTCTAACTTTTTATGTAAAATAAAAATATTTAATTTTATTTATAGAAACTAGACACCATATGACATATATCTTTTATTTTGGGTATAATAATTTTAAAAAAATTTAAATTATAATTTAAAAAAAATTAATTTCTATTATATTATGGCTGGGCTGGCAAATTTTTTCTTAAAAAATCTCAGGTTTGGGCTATGGTCACCAAAACTTTTTTAAAAAAATATTAAATTTAGGCATGTCCAAACTTTTTTAAAAATTTTTTTAACCGGGCTTGAATTAGACTCAATGCAGATCACTAGTTTAGATATCTATTAATGAAATCTTTAGGCTTGCATAATATTTTTTGGCAAAATACTGGGATATCCATTTTTAATAATTGAGCTGCTTATCAACACTATTTTGTTTGAGTTATGACAAAAAAAGGTGTTTTTTGTTCCATATAGGTTTTAGAACATCCTTGGAATATTACCTTCTTTCTTTTCCTTTTCTTAGCTAATGTTAAAATTAAAAGCTTAGCAATTACCCATACTGGCCAACATATCGCTGATTTATAATATGTAATACAAATTAAATTAAGATTTTCATATTATTTTACAGAATGTTCTATAATTGGTCACTGCTTATTGCTTAATATAATTTAAAATTGTGAGCATTACTCTTATATTTTATTTAAAATTAGTAATTACTTTTCTCTCTTTTCTTTAAAGGTAATAAATGTGGGACAATCAAGGAATTCCCACGTTTTAATGACCCAGGTGTTTTATTAGAAAGCAGAACAGGAAGATGTGGTGAATGGGCCAATTGTTTTACCTTAATTCTTAGAGCTTTAGATTTTGAGACCAGATATGTGGCTGATTGGTCTGATCATGTTTGGTGTGAGGTATATGTCTTCAAACATTTATTTTTTCACAATTTACTTGTGTCTGAATTAAAATTTGAATCTTACTTTTGAAGGAATTTTTTTGACATAAATATATTGACAAAAAAAATTATTGAGATCATAAATGTTTATTAACTGAATTAATAAAATTTCCATAAAATTTTATAAAAAAGGAAACAAACAATACTTAATAAATTCTAAAAGTATGTGTCTCAGGGAATCAGAATTTTTTCCTTTATTAGTTAATGGTCACCTTTATTTGATGATGGATTAATTAGAAATTTTCCTATTTTATGAGGTGTGATTCAGAAATTTGTATTTATTTAGATAAAGAGTTATTCTAAAATTTTCTATTATTTGATATAATATGTTAATGAAGCCTATATTTAGTAATTTTTATTTATGTGCAAAATAAAAATGTTAACTAAATTTTTATTCATTTGTAACAGATTATAATTTAAAATTATATTCTTGCACTTATTTTTGATTTAACATTGCCCCACAAAATTCATCAAAAATAAGTTATGCAAAACTCTTATATAGCAAGAATATATCTTTTAGGTTTTAAATTAAAAATACAATTGTTGATCGATTGATTTTTTATTTAACTTAAATTGTTATTATAGCCTTTAACTATGTATTTCGTTTAAATTGTTTTTTTATAATACATATAATGTACCTTATTTTATATTTATTTTTAGTATCATTTTAGTTTTAGAATAAAATTATTATAAATTAAAATCTCCACCGTTATCTTTCACCACTGTTATCACCTATATAACAACAATAATTAAAAATTTTGGTTTAAAATTTTTTTTATTGTGCACATAAATTAAATTAACTAAATATATGCTTCATTAAGAAATTTTATAATAAAATTTAGAATAATCCTTAAGGATAAATTTCCGAATCACACCTGAAATAAAGGTGAAATTTAATATTCATTCATCATCGAATAAAGGAAAAAAATATGATAGATATTAGGGCTGCCAGATGCATTGGTTTAGTCAGGACTAGTGATCTGCATCGGGCCTAATTTTTCAAGCCCGGCCCGGCCCGAAATTTTTTTGGAAAGAGTTTTGCCGGCCCGGCCCGAACCTGAAATTTATTTTAAAAAAATTTACCGGCCTGGCCAGGCCCGAATTTATTTAAATATAGAAATTAATTTTTATAATTACTTAAAATAAAAGACATATGTTATATAGCGTTTAGTTTCAATAAATTAAATCAAAAATTTTTATTTTACATAAAAAATTCAATATAAAATTGATAAATTTAGATATATTTAATAAACTTTCCAAGGTCCGACCCGGCCCGAAATTTTTTTAAAAATATTAGGCCCGGCCCGACCCGAACCCGATTTATTTAAATAAAATTAGGCCCGAGCTCGGCCCGAAGCTCGTTTGGGTTTGCAGATTTATAGTCAGGACATCCAACTTTAAATATATTTATATTATCATACATGACAGCAAAAATGCACCGATCTTAGGCATGAGGTAAGGAAAAATTTGTCCAATAATTCCGGTTTTATACACACTGAAAATGTTACTAATTACCAAATAACTACTCACATTATCTGAACATGAGAGCTCCCATTATTCGACATTTCTGTTCATTCCCCATTGTATGAAAGTGGGAGATGGATTTTAGGGGAGCAAAGAGAAGGAAAAAATAAAAAAAATAATTCTAAAAAAATATAAAAAGCATTTATACTTTACGACTTGACGGTTATAGATATTTACCATACTCGCATTTTAGCCACATTGGCTTCCGAATGTCAACATCGGTATTTATAAAAATTTTAACTTTTAAAATATTATGCCAGGAATATTTCTATAGTATTTTATATATTCCTTCTTTCCCAGCAATTTTAAAGGGAATGAAGCAGTTAAACTTAGCTCATGGTGAGGTAGCAATTTCATAATATCTAAGAAATTGCTTTTATTTGTTTAATTTTTTCGCCTGTATTTTTTACCTTTTTATTTGTAATTTGATCTAAAAGATTTATTATTGCTAGATGAGAGTTTTGCCTACCTTATTATCGAAGGCATACTTTGTCGATTTTGAAAAAAATAAGAGTGTAAAAAGTGACGTAATATATTTTATTTTGAAAAGCCTTATAAAATTGAAACTGACGATGCCAAAATAAACTTATTTTCAAAAATAATTCAAATAGCTAATAATGATGATTTAAAATATTTAGTTAAAATTAAAAAAAATTTCAGACCTGGCCTGGGTATATTAAAACAAATTAAAATATGGGCCAGCCTGCAGGTCTCTGAAATATATTGGACAAACATATATATTGCCCTACAAAACCCTCATCTAGCAAGATTAAATTATTAGGTTATAAATTACAGATATTTTAAAATGCATTTAAAAATAATTTTATATTATGCACATAAAGACATTCTTAAATAATTCACATCAATGGTCTGCAATACCAGGTCTAAGCCCTTACATCTGAGAATTTTTTTGGGTCAGGCTAGAAAAAAAAATGAAGTGGCCATGCCGTGCAAATTTTATGTATATATATATTTGATGAATAAAATATAGGGTTTTCAATTTAACCACTCCACAAGATCATAAATAGTTATTTATTTAGGTTCAACAAGATATATTTTGGTATAGGCCAGAAAAAATTTAAAAATTTGGCTAGGCCAGACAACATTAGTAAAAAATTGAAATTGGTCCTGACCAAGCAAATATTTATGAACTGGGCATTAACTAAATTCTCACTATAATTGAGTTTGAGAATTTTATCATTTGCCAGCCACTGATCACATATATGTTCCAATTTGTTCATATTGAAGGTACTATAAATATATACTTCATTAATATATTCTATAAAAATAATATTAAAAAATTAATAAGTTCTCATTAAACATTAAAACAAAGATCAATTTCTGATTCACAGGTTAATTTCTGATTCATCCTTTATCAAATAATAAAGGTAACATTTCTGATTACTCATCATCAAATAAAGGAGAAATTTATTATTCAACATCATTCTTGTGAGGTTAATATGAGCATAACTTTATATATATAAAAAACTTCAATAATAAGACAACTCTATGAAAAGATAATAGATATAAGGGCTGTCAGATGCTTAAAATAAGTTGAGAGCCCAGTCCTTATTTTTTATTGTCCATACAGGACAGTCCTCTAATTTCTAAGATAACAAAAAAAAATTAAAATTATAATAATTCTTATTTTTTTCTACTGAAACTATATCATTAACTAATTATAATAGGATTGAATATATAAAGAAATTTTTTGAGATATTATGAAATTTATATTAAAAGGATTTATAATTTTCTTCTAAATAATTTATGCATAATTGTGAGTACATATATTTGCTGGAACCTTCAGAAATGATTTTAAAAATATTTTAAAATATCTTTGTAGATGGAGAGTAAAGTATATATTTATTAATAAAGCATTATTGTATTAAAAATACAATGTTGGCAAAATATATATTTAGTACCTTTAACTGCAGATCTTAGTAATTGATAAATCATAAAGTTTTATTGAAATAAGTATGTTATATAAATATTCTCTGTCCAGCTTTCAAAATTGCTGAATGAAATTCTAAAACTATGGTATGGATGAAATAGCTGAATTGAAAAACTCTTAATTTGATCCATAAATATTTTTTATAGTTAAAAGTTAAAAAATACAAGAAAAGCAAAATATAATATAAAATTTTTATATGTAATTTTAATACTAATAGTAGCTCAGGCCCAAAAGGTGTGCTTTTGAAACAGAGGTCTCCTAGTTTAATACTAGATGGCAAAAATTTAACATTGTACTATACAGTCTTCTTAAATTTTGATACATCAAGATGATATTAATTTTAGAGATTATATATATATATAAATAATTGTTAACAATTATAATTACACACTAATAAATGCGATATAACACAAAATAATAATAACTGTGAATCTAAAATTCAATTTAACTTTCAACCTAAAAATTTAATGTTTGATAATAAATATAATCCATGATACATAACACAGGTGTCGGTAGATAGTCTCATACTAAAAAGATATTTTAAACCCCAAATAAATACACCGTTTTTTTATTTTGAAACTAACCCCGCCTTATAGATGGATTTTATAGAAATCTAGCACATGAGATATATAATATATCTAAATGAATTTGAGAAATTATGAAATTTAGACTTAATACATTTAAAGCAAGCCCCAAACCAAAATCAGGCCTTCGTCTTATCCTATATAACCAATTTTAAATATTATCTTGTTGTATTATGCAAATGATTATTTTTAATATTTAAGCATAAAAAAAATATATTTTATAAGAGTTAAGTTCAAGCATAAAAGATGATTATTCAAAATTAAGAAAAGTATTATATTTTATGAATTGTTATATGAACAATTATAAAAAATTATATTTTATAATATGCAAGCTAAAAAGATTATTATTCAAATTTGAGAAAAAAAGATGATATTTTATGCATAGATATATAAAGCATGACAAAAATCAAAAATGACTATTATGTTTTTTTTTCTTATATACGAAATTGTTAATTTTATATCTAAAATAAATTTATTAATCGATTGTATTTTACATTAATTTGATTCATTATATATTATCTTTAAATAAATCAATTATTCTCAAACTAGTAGTCTTTTTCTAACACACACTAATCTTAAAAAGTATGTGACTATTTACCGACACATACGTTGCATAGCAATAATTTAAAAAAAATTAACCGGGATCTGATATGTATAAATTTAAAAAATAATTTACTTAAAATATCCTAAAGTTTAATATAAAATAAGTATTATTCCACTAGCCAACAAAGATGGATTCATATCGACCCATGTGAATGTATTTGCGATAAACCGCTGCTCTATCATATTGGTTGGGCCAAACCTCTGTCTTACATAATCGCTTTTTCTAGTCAAGAAATAATGGACGTCAGTTGGAGGTATTCCAACGATCATAAGACACTATTGAAACGAAGGTTTTTAATTTTATGTTTTGAAAGGTTCTTATATTATTAGCCTTTTGTTTTAAATTCAGCTGATGGTTGATACTAAACGAAATCATTGTAATAAATGTTATAAAATATATCGGAGAATCCGAACTCTCTTTTAAAATTTAAATAAATTTTTTAAAAAACACTGACGTTTCTTGTTATTTTAACTAAATTTTATAAGTCCTTATTTTTTTGACCCCTAGAACACTTATTTTAAGATTCAATCTTTAATTTATTTTACTTTTCTTATTTTCACAACATTTTAATTTCAAGCCTTCGGCCAAGATTATTTTTTTTTTTAAAAAAATATCTTGGCCTGGGTTTTTTTTGTCACTTAAATTATTTTGGTTGTATTTTGTAATTTTTCAAAGATAAATCGAAAATATATGCAGTAAATGAAAGTTAATTATAATCCATATTTTAAAAATTTTCCGGGTCCTGAAATTTTTTTTATTATGCCAGGCCTGGGTTTGGATTTTTTTTAATTTATAGGATCCGACCTGAATTTTTGAAATGATTTTATTTAGTCAGGTTCCGGACCAAGCCATTAAATATTTATGCGAAAATTATTTATTTATCATTATCAAAAGGCTATTTTGATTGGTAACATAGAACTAACATTGCAAAAAAAATAAATAACAGGAATTTAATTTCAGAAACGTGGTTATATCAGACCATCAAAGATATGAATGCCCGATTGAGACAAGATTTATTAACCGAACGGATCGACGAATTAAATCTCCGAACAGTTAAGGAATTGGTAGAATTTATGAGTCCACCCGAAGTTGTAGATGGCCAAGCTTACCCGGGGCGAATATCTGGTTAGTCGTCTTGAAATTAAATAAATGTTTGTAAATTGGCTACCAAAAAAATGTATATTTCATGATTTTAAACATATTTTATATAGTGCTGTAAAGTAACCGACGTTACTAACGGCTTTACTTTTTTTTGAAGAAATGGAACGCCATTTGTTACCCTCTTCTAGAGTTAACGAGTAACGGTAACGCGTTTCTTTTTTTTTGAGTAACGGTAACGCAAAACGTTACTGTTACAATTCCGTATTTGAATTGTAATCTATTTGTCGAAGGCGTGGGAGAGACTTTAATAAACTCAATGGAACCTGGTATTAATAATAAGAGGCAGATAAAAAAAAAATTTGCTAATAATATCCTGAATTTTGCACAATATTACTAAAGCTTTTTAAAATCATAAACAAGACAACTATTTTATTTGAAAATTTTATCCAATTTATATACATTTTTTTTAATATGCAAAAAAAAATTACAAGTACATTAAAGTTCATAAAAAAATAATAAATTCCAAAACTGAATATTCAAATAACTATAATTAATACTTTACAACCGTCGATAACATATTCACAAACCAACTAATTATATAAAAATATAATTTATATTCAAATTATTGCGTATTTATAAAAATGAATTACCCCTAAATCTAACACCTCCACCCTTGAGACTAACCTTCTACCACATCTTTCGTCAGTTCACCACTCTCCTGCGTCGGTAACGCTGTATTGTTATTTGATGTCTCCACTGCTATGGGACAGAACCTCAACTTGTGCATACCTCCACACGACCAACATTCTATACGGCTTTTCTTAACCTAATATGGTTCAATCTTTCGTTCGAATTGCCTTTTGGGTACTTCCTGCAGTAGTTCCCCATATCTTTGTTGCGCTTTCGTTCTCGCAGCCTCAATCCATCTGTTTGATTCTAATGATCCGTCCACCTCAATTTTCATTTTTATAATCTTATTTTCTAATCGGAAGTATGACGCCATCTACAAAAATTACTATAAAAATATATACATATTCCTTATCTTCTAATGTTCTACAATACATTTTATTCTATCCACATGATAATTCTCTTAACCGTTTTAACCCTTATAAATCATGATTCTCATAATTAGGTCTATCATCAATTTTATTTCATCAAGAATTATGATTCTCCTAATTAAGTCTATCATCAATTTATGCCTTTATAAATTATGATTCTCCTAATTATGTCTATCATCAATTTATTTCTTCTAATTATATCCAATATCTAAGGTAGAGTTTTTAACCAATTTTGTGATAGGTGGAATATTAAGCATTTAGTATCGCCACCACATTCCCCAAGAAGTAATGGGCAAGCCGAAAGAATGGTAGCTATTGTTAAAAGCTGGCTAAAAAAGGAAAATATGGAGAGGGAAAATGTTGGTTATTATTATTAGCATATAACAATACTAAGACTGGCAAAGGAAATTCACCAGCAGAGATGTTTTTAGGTAGAAAAACAAGAACCGAATTAGATTTTTTAAAAGAAAAGATAAAGCAAAAGGATACATATGAGGAGAAATTAAGGTTGGAAGTTTAGTATGGATTCTACTTTTTGATGGTCCAGTTAAATGGGGGAAGGGTATAGTAAGTAAGAATATAGGAAGAAAAAAAGTAGAAGTAGAAATTGAAGGACAAGAAGGAACCTTCACTAGACACCTGAAACAAGTAAAACTAAGAAGCTTAGGGCAAGAAAGAGATATTGGATATAATTAGAAGAAATAAATTGATGATAGACATAATTATGAGAATCATAATTTATAAAGAGATAAATTGATGATAGACTTAATATGAGAATCATATTTTCGGATGAAATGAAATTGATGTTAGACATAATTAGGAGAATCTATTTATAAAGGCATAAATTGATGATAGACTTAATTAGGAGAATCATAATTCTTGATGAAATAAAATTGATGATAGACCTAATTATGAGAATCATAATTGATAAAGGTTAAAACGGTTAAGAGAATTATCATGTGGATAGAATACAATGTATTGTAGATCATTAGGAGAGTAAGGAATATGTATATATTTTTATAGTAATTTTTGTAGATGGCGTCATACTTCCGATTAGGAAATAAGATTATAAAAATGGAAATTAGAGAGGTGGACTGATCATTAGAATCAAACAGATGGATTGAGGCTGCGAGAACGAAAGCGCAACAAAGATATGGACTGCAGGAAGTACCCAAAAGGCAACGATTCGAACGAAAGATTGAACCATATTGGGTTAAGAAAAGCCGTATAGAATGTTGGTCGTGTGGAGGTATGCACAACTTGAGATTCTGTCCCATAGCAGTGGAGACATCAAATAACAATACAGCGTTACTGGTGCGGGAGAGTGGTGAACTGACGAAAGATGCGGTAGAAAGTTAGTCTCAAAGGTGGAGGTGTTAGATTTAGGCGTAATTCATTCTTATAAATACGTAATAATTTGAATATAAATTATATTTTTATTATTGCGTATTTATAAAAATGAATTACGCCTAAATCTAACAGTCACTTCAAATTTTTCTTTAAAAATACTGAAAAAATATATTTTATTGTATTATAAAATTACTTTTATTTATTTTTTTTAATTTTATAAATAATTTAAGCCGAGTTTTTATCCACATCAACCACCAAATTCCTTCATTTTTATTAAAATTTTTGTTGTTTTTAGTAGATTATTAATCTAATTAATATTGAATCAATCAATGTATGTAAATTTATATTCTTATAAACATTATGATTTATTATTTTAGAAAGAATATTATGAATTGTACATTTTCTGCAGATGAAGATGTGTAAAGCCTACCTTGACTCCAATATGAAACATTTTTTACACCAATAAAGAAAACTAAGGGTACGGAGCTATACTTTGTAAGTTAGTGTCCCAACTCAACTATTTTAACCTCAATTGTGGGTATCCTCCAAACTGTGCAGCCATTTATAAGGAAAAATGGGGATATCTGATTAAACTGGCTATAACAATATGGAACTCTTTCTATAACTCTGTGAAATTAATATAGTCTTATTAAGGAGAATGGCCACAAATTTGACGAATCTTGTAATAAATCTATTACAGAGATTGGATAATGACAAGTCTTTAATAGGTGAATATTGCATGGCTATATATATGATTTTATAGGTCATCGAACCCGCTTTTATGGCTCTTTCGATTTTAGAGAGAGAAGAAAAAATGCATTTGGGAAATCTCACTCCCACGATAACTATCATAATATTTAAAAAAATGGCTTTAAATAATTTCATTTTGTAAGCCACTTATTAATGCACGTTAGACAAAGATATATGGTATACAGTTGAAGAATTGTTCACAATTCATATTTTGATAATATTTTATTTTATTTTATTTCAATTGAATATATATTATCAGCAATAATTCACCCGCTATTTAAATCAGATTGGCCCTCGTGAAACTAGATGTCAGCAAAAGATGGAGAACTTATTTCCTGTTTGAGAAAAGATCATGACAAAGAAAAGGCAGATTTGATTCCTTTAAAAAATAACACACTTACAGATTATTTTCTAATAAAGATAATTAAAAAAAATTGGATGAGGATCTGAATGTTAATTCTTCGATGAACTAAGCTTTTTCAAAATAAATATTATTCTTTAATTTTTAATAAATTCCCTCAATTAAAAATTTTTTTTATCCAATAGAATACAATTCTCCTTTCCTCTGTGCCAGTTGAACATATGTTTAACACAGCGAAACCTGTGTTTAGCACTAAGCACTCTTGTTTATCTGATCAAAATTTTAAAAATCAATTGTTGAAAATGAATAAAAAATTGAGATGTTATCTTATGTATAATATATTATTTTTGTATAATTTTATTTATATTTATTGTAAAAAAAAAATTAATATTTTTTTTGTATATAATATTTAATTTTTTAAGTAACGAGTAACCCGTTACTTTTTTAAATAGTGAGTAACACGCGTTCCTTTTTTAAAAAGGTAACGAGTAACTGTAACACGTTCTTTTTTCAAACGTAACGAGTAACGGTAACGCGTTTATTTTTTGTAGTAACGTTTACAGCACTAAATAATACTCGTTTCACTGTAATCGGAAATTATGAGGGGGGAGAAATTTGTTTATAAAAAATAATAAATATACATATTGTTACTAAAAGAAAATTAGAAGAAAAGTAAAAGAAATATGTATATATTATATTTATTAATTTTTAATAATTCTTTCATTATTTATGTAAATTTTGGTAGATGACATTTTATTCGTAATCATAAATATATAGATTTAATTTAGATATTTTATTTTAGGAAGAGACAAGACAAAGAGTGAGAGCATGAGATAGATTAGAACATGAAAATTTTTAACTTGAATCACGAGTATTTTACGTTTATTCTTTAAAGAAAATTGGACGTGGTTGAAACTAGAGGCGAACACATTAATTAAGGATAAAATAATCCGGATTAGTTCAGGAACTATATATTTCAACATCTTTAAACTCAACATTAAAATAATTATCTAATAAAACGATATAATTTTATGTTCTCAAATTATTTGATGATATTTCCGATAATTATAAAGTAATGATATAGATAATATTGATTATATAACAAATTTTTTGGGATCCCACATATCAGATCTCGCCATATAAAAAGAGTTCCCTCCTTTACAACTGTTCTTCATTAAATATAATACCTCTATCCCATACAGTTCTCCTGTTGAGAGATTATCTAGTATAGCAAAATATGTTTTTAGTGAAAAAAGATGTTCTTTATTAGATGAAAACCTTGAGAAACATATTCTCTTAAAAAATATTATTTATATATACAACTAATATTTTATTATGTGATATTATTATAAATTTTTATCTGAATACAAATTTCATTTACAATTATAACAAAATATATAATTAGGGTTGCAATATTTTATTTATTAACCTACTTACTGAGAAAAAATATTAGATATAGTTTTTAAAGTAGCTACTAAAATAGCTAAATTACATTTAAAATGTAATAAGCTATAGCTCGCAGAAAACATTTTTTGGAAAGTAGTTGCAGTTATAACGCGCTATTTTTTAAAGTAACCTTAAAAGAGCATTGCTTTGCGCCGTTTCAGTTCAGCTTAAATGCGAATACTAATAATTTTTTAAAAAATATGCCCTATTAATAATTTTAAGTCGAAATTTGGCGAGATCTCTCCTAATTAAAGCCTTTGGAGATATTTAGAAAATTATGAAGGCCTCTTCCTAATTCACATATATCAATTTTTTTAAAAAATAATTAAACACATGATAAACGTTGTATTATCTCATTATAGAGATCAACATCATTTGTACTAATTACAATACCCTCAAAGTGAGCTTCCTCTATAAAATTCTTCAACAAAAACAAATTTGCAAAAAGTTTTAAGGGCATCCGTAGCTGAAGATACTGCTTATGATATACGTCCAAGATAAATAGTCGATAATATTTTAAACTATAAACAATTTTGAATTTTTTTTAAAAAAGTTTTAAACGATACTTCAACCATAAGTCATGTCAATATTAAGAATAGGGGATACACCTTTTTTTTAACTCACATAAAAAATAAGAGCTATTTTTATAACAGCATATTCAATTGCGCTATGATCAAATATATTCTCCACTAGAAGAAGAGGAAAAATTAAAAGTATGTTTGAAATAAGTTTTGAAAAAATCTCATTCACATTGAACCACCCCAAATGCTACTTACTTATTATATCCTCAATATAAAGCTCGCAACTTCTAATAACGATGAAGCTTGAGTAATAAAAGAATCAGGATTTCTGAGGTGGGAATAATTCACCCATTTTAGCGAATATAATTAATTTTTGATGAACTTGGGGAACGCGGTAGAATCTATAACATTAATCATGTGTCGGCATCAAGCTGATGATAGGACTTTGCCCTATGGGGAAAGTGACAAATGTCAGTAACCCTCTGAGGTTCACCTGCTTAAAATAGAAATTGGTCCGTTTGGGAATATTCAAGTGAGGAACCGAAATCCATTTAGTTGACTACAAGGAAAATTGATATAACTTACGATTAAATTAAAATATAGAAGAAAATGTTAATAACTAAATAAATCAAAAAAAAAACTGGAAAAGCAAGCGAAAGATTATTTAGAATTAAGCAGGGATCCAAACCATAACGAATATCGGGTCGGTTTAGGTTCAGATAAAAATAACCTTTATGGTTCAGGCTCGGTTGGTGAAAAATAATATTCGGTTTGAACAAAAAATGTGCGAACCTTTTTGCATACTAGCCTATTAGACTTGTGTAAATAGACACATTTGTTTTAGATTTTATCGCCATATTTTCAAAATTCTCTTCCGTCAAATTTATCTCTATAAGGAAAAGGAATAAATTCTATAGTTGTAAACACTTCTATACGCTAAATTGGCTAGCACTATCAAATAACAATATCTAAAAATACATTTTTAAAAGAGTTAGAATATTAAAAGATTTAAACTGGTGAGGTTCAGGTTCAGGTTCGGATGACAAATTATTTGACATTTCAGATCCAGTTTCTTGGTAATGGTTAATACCGGTTTAACTGTTCAGATTCGGTATGCATTCATTTAGATTTATGAATATATTTTGTATATTTATTATATTATATCATGTAAATTTCCTTTTGTCTATTTTAACAGACAAAATACACAAACCTGATTAAATTCAACATTAACTATAAATTACCCCCACCCCATCAACAAAAAAGGAAAAAGATACCTAACAATTTCTTAATTTCAAGCATTTGTTATTTTAATTTTTTTATTATTACCCTCATTAAGGAGACATCGATTGGAAGCAATCTAGAGGAGAAACAGGACCTAATATTATCAATAAAAACGGTGACACCAATCTTATTCATAAGGCCAACGTGAATTTTGCATCGTTACTATCCCAATACTGTAAAAACGAGGCTCCTTATTCCGGTATCATTTTATATATTGTGTTAAACAAAATGGCCTTTCATTTTTAAAATATAAAATTTGATCAAAAAATACAATTTTTATTTAGTAAATTATACAAATTTTTAAATTATAATATATATAAAAAAAATACTTAAAGACCCTCTATTTGTTAAAATAATTCAATTTTATTTTAGTTGCATTACATTTATAAATACTAAATATATTACATATTTTTTCTTATAAACAGATGAACTTGAGCCTTCTTTTTCCTTTTCCCCTTCTACCTCACACGAAAGATTGTTGCACGTTCTTTATTTTTGCTCCTCTGACGAATATTGGTTTGCATTTTTTTTACTTCATGTTAATTTATGTCTTGCTAGGTTCACATTTTTTTCACAATTAACATGTCAATTTTTCTTAGCATCAATCAAAACAATAATAATGCAGTAAAAAATGGCGTCCCAGGTTTTAGATCACTGAGCTATATAACTAATCATGTAATACGCAAGACGGAACGTGATTGGAGAACTTGTTACTTGTGTCCTGAACCTGGACACGCTATCGATGATTTCGCAACAAGTGCAGTGAAAATCGTTTGGAAAGTGAGTTGTTACGGTATAAAAATATTTTTATTAAGATCTAAATAATAAATTTATCCTATTTTTTGAAATATTGCTTCAGAGGCTTTTTTATAATTTTTTGGAAGTTATTTTTACACATATAAATGTTTAACCATTATCAAAAAATATTTTTCCCTACTAGACCCCTATTCTAAATCGTTGTCGAAAAATGATGCTTCATCTCAAAATACTTTCGCAGCCCTTGTGGATAAGTCGTTTAATAATCAAATTATCTCTGAAAATCGTAAGAAATATTTAATTTATATTTATATTTTTCATAATTATAATTTTTTTTAAAAAATTTTACAAATTATATAAAAATCATAGAAAATACGAAATCTGTTCATATTCCAACTATCAAAAGAATAAAAATTAGAGTTAAAGGCACTCAGGTGTACGATACTAATATAGCTCAGATCGAATGGCGTTTAAACGTTCACTATCCGCTTTCATCTTTAAAATCCGGAACGGAATCGATATTGTTATCCGCTAACGGTATATTTATATAATTTTTGATAAAAGTTAAATTGATATGTATTTTATTTTTTAATAAAAAAAGAAAATTTTGACATAGACACCGAAGAGTACATAGGTGCTGATTATTTCTTTATCACGGCTCAATTTATATTTCCTAAAGCTTTTGAAAATTCTCTCCCTTATAAACTAGACGGCATTTTATGGCAAAAAGCTCAAATATTCAGAACCAAATGGGTTCCTCCTTTATCGAATTTTGATAAATTTTTGAATTCGACATCTAATAATTATACAAATGATAATGGCTCATTTAACGATATTCAAACATTTCATTATGATAATGGGGATAAATCATTTATGAAGGACGAAGGGGATTTGGATATTTTCGTAACTTTTGAATAATTGATATTAAATTTTCTTTTTTTAAAGGTTTGGGTGTATTATATTTATTATCTAATTTTATTGTAATAATTTTATTTAATATATGTTATAAAATAACAAGCGGAAATAATAAAGTCTATTTATGTGATCCTAATATTTTTAATTATTATTTACATTATAGAAATGAAATATTTTTAATTTTAAAATACCTTAAAAAAATGTTTGCTCAGATACAGCAACAAGTACAAACTACAATTTTACAACATTTGCGTTAATTTTAAATAATTTCTTATACTGTATAAGAAGTTGGCTATCTTAGACGACAACATTTAATAATTAGTATATTTAAAAAAAATTGGAAACATCTGATGACCAAAATAAAATAAAACTTTCCTTTTTTTTCAATGAAATTTTAAAACTAAAAAATGATTTATTTGTTCATGCAAAATAAATGTGCTAATTTTATTAAAAGGCTATCAGAAAAATCGATCAAAGAAATAAAAGAAATCACGTTCCCTTCCCACGACTCTAAAACAAATAGCAAGATAATTAATTCAAAAAATAACATTTTTCATACTAGGAAAATTGTTTAGCATTTAATATATATTCCCTTTTCTTTAAAATATATGTTCATACATCGAACCTAATTTCATTGCTTTTTTCAATATTTTTTAGTAGTTATATAACTAAAAATCATTGAGTATTTATATTTAAAAGGTTTAGCACCAGTATTCTATGCAATGAGCAGGCTTGTTAATCGATCCTTTTAAAAAGATCGAATCACGATCTTTTGAAAAATATAGGATGAAATCCAGGATCGATCTTTTTTTAAAAAAAGAATCGCGATCACGACGATCCTTTTCTTATTTAAATTTCTGATCTATGCAAAATTAACTAATATAAAAATTAATTAAATATGGTATATATATATATTGTAATTGAATAATATATTAGTATAACAATTAGAATATATATATATTTATAATTAAAATTAGCATATAATAATAAATTTTTTTCTAAATTATCATCATTTAAACAACCACGTTTTTCATTAAGTATATATTGAGCGCTTGATGGTAAAGGTGTGTTATATTAAATAAATGTTTATTTTAAATTAACATAATTATTAAAAATATTCACAGAATCATCATAAAATAAAAAAAATTATTAATGGAAAAACATTTTGTGACGAATTTTTCCCCAAAAAGGTATCAATTTCATCCAAGCCTTCATAAGAAGAATCTGCATGTGGTTGACCCTGTATATTTTTTAAATGGGCAATTAACCTTTCTTTTAGCAGCAAATTTTGTGGCAGATTAATAAAAGGCCAATTGAGCTTAAACTTTGGGTGAATTATTGATGCCAATATATTACTGTCATCAGATAGTGAAGGAAATCTATATTAATAAATGATAATTAATTTATTATTAAATAAGTGTTCATTCATATAAATCAGGTATCTCCGCCCTTTCAAATTTTACAGTCAGGCCTGACCAATCTGTATAATATTGATTAAATTTAATAATTTTTAATGCCTATGTTGGCCCATTAAAATTTTTATTAAAAGCTGTGAGAAAATATTTTCCTATCATATGAATAATACTGAGGCTTTTTAGGTATTTAAGAACTTATGAATTAATGGTTCAACACAAATTTATATTATTTACATGTGGTTAAAAGGGTTATATAGGTTATCTTAAAAATTTAAGTTAAAATTGTCTATCATTAAAAGCTGCCCAAGATGATATGGGCAAAAGATTTTGAGAAAATATTTTCCTATGATATGAATAAAAATGAGGTTTTTTATTATTTAAAAACTTATGAATAAAGGGTTCAACACAGATTTTGTTAAATATATTAAGTTAAGTATATTATTAATATGTGGTTGAAGGGTTTTAAATACTAAAAATTAATTTTAACTCCAATTAAAAATATTTGTCTCTCTTTCATATCAATGCTAAGAATGGGCTAAAATTCCTGATTATTATAATTAAGATTAACACATCAATAAATATTTTATTAATTATTGTAAATATTTCTTATTATATATATATTGTTATGATCTTCTGTTGCGTTATTCTAATTTCTTAATCTTATTATATATTTTTGTAATCTAATTTTTATTATTTTTTGTAATTTGATTTTATAACTTATTTGCGTAACCTTGTTTTTATAACTTTCGGCGTAACCTTACTTTTTATATTTTATAATATATTTACTTTTTGTTTTTCGTTTGTATTCTAAAAATGTATATATACCTTAAGAAAAGAAAAAGAAATTAGTTAATAAAATATATTTTTACTGACTCGCACCTCGCGCTATATCGTTAAGATCTTTATTCTTTTCATGGTGCCCCGGCTCTGGGTGGTGGACTAGAAAAAGATGACTACCTAATCTGCTGAGATGACTATCTAATCTATGACGATTGCTTAATCCATTGAGATGACTATTTATATGACTACCTATTGTGACGATTGTTTAATCCATTGAGATGACTCTATTTATATGACTACCTATTGTGACGATTGTTTAATCCATTGAGATGACTCTATTTATATGACTACCTATTGTGACGATTGTTTAATCCATTGAGATGACTCTATTTATATGACTACCTATTGACTACCTATTGTGTTGATTGCTTAATCTATGGAGATGACCAAGAATCAAACCTTAGCACGTTCTTTCATGCAAAAAGCTTCTTTCTTCATGGTGTCCCGGCTCTGGATGTTGGACTGGAATATGCAGCACCTAACCTAATGTGACAACCTAGGAAGAACTGATATGGAAGTTGAACGATAGGTTATGAATTCTATTTTGTGAGACGAATGATGATTACTTATTATTCTAATCCACGTAAGAAGAAAAGTTATTAAAAATTAAAATTTTATGCCAGGATAAAGGCATGTTATAAATTTTTTAAATCACTAAAATGTAAAATCATAATGGATTTATTTGAACACACCTTTAAAAAATTTTTTACTTAAATTCTTAGTGAAATATTATTTTTTAATTTCTTGAATGATGACCAATTGTAAATTAACAACTAATCCTAAAAATGAATTCTTAGATATAATTAAATATAAACCATTATAAATCCTAAACAAGAAGATAAAACTTTAATTTTAAATATATTAAAGTGTAATTAAAACATATGAATTAAAAGGGATTGATTTAAATAACCCTTATAAGTAATGCTTAATATGATAAAAATGTTTTTGAAATAAAGCTTTTGAAGACAAAAGGTTATGTAAAAATTAAACATCAATTTTAGAAAAATATTGTGTGAAATTTAAATTTTTTTTAAGAGAGGGAAAGGTGCATAATATTTGCATATTTTAACCTCGGAGATTGAAAATAAATTAAATACTAAAATGCAAAAATTAATTAAACACTAAAACGCGAAAAAATAAAAGTCATTAAAACGCTAAAAATATAACAATCTTATTGATTTATCATTCTTCACTTATTTTTATATTTTGATGAACTATTATTTCTTATTATTCGCAACTCACTGATAATAATGATTTTGAAAAATGATAATAATATCAACGACACGATTTGTAAAACATTCGATATGGATATCAAGCTCACGATTTAAACAAAAACGAACAAACAATGATTTGGACAAGCCAACGATTAGTGACTTATGCAACATTGACAACCAAAACGATAAACCACTTGGACAACAAACTCTCTGTGTCTTCTCCGATGAAATTATCAGAAGAGGGAGAATGTTGCGTTATTCTAATTTCTTAATCTTATTATATATTTTTGTAATCTAATTTTTATTATTTTTTGTAATTTGATTTTATAACTTATTTGCGTAACCTTGTTTTTATAACTTTCGGCGTAACCTTACTTTTTATATTTTATAATATATTTACTTTTTGTTTTTTGTTTGTATTCTAATTTATATTTATAGAAAATGTATATATACCTTAAGAAAAGAAAAAGAAATTAGTTAATAAAATATATTTTTACTGACTCGCACCTCGCGCTATATCGTTAAGATCTTTATTCTTTTCATCTTCACAAATAATAATTGTATTTTTAAAAGAATTAATTACTTCTAAATGCCTCTTTAGGTTTGAACTGCTAATCAATGAAGAAGATATTTTGTTTTTGCATAAAGAGCATTTTGCATAGATTATTGTAAGGTTTCCATCCGTTTCACATAAAGTAAAATACTTACGTAAATTATGAAATGGTAAAAGATTCTCATTCTCACTTATATCTGCTGTCACATCAATAGAAGTAGATGTATCATCTACTAAATCTATAATGGAGGACATTATTCAAACCTAGAATTTATTTATTTTATTATAATATAATTAATAAATAAATATAACTTGCGTATAAAAAAATTGGTAAATTATGTGATACGTGATATATAGCACTTTTCCCTCTAGCGTTGAAGGTTCAGCAGAACTACGCTAGGTTTTCCTCATTTCCATCTAATTGGAACTAATTTAATTTGGGTGTAAAAGTAAAAATATGAGGAGCCCTCAATACGTTTGTGGGCAAGTCGCACATACTTGTAGGCGCAACATTTCGAAAAATGTTACGTAAACCTCTAGTCCTATTAAAAAGGAGTGGGGCAGAAAAGGAGCCTATACCCGAGAACTACAGTATAATTTAATTAGTTTAAGGGTGGGTGGTGGCTGATCTTAAGTTTAAATTCTTTAGTGTAAGACTTAATGATTGATATCAATATTGAGATTTAATGTTCATAGAATCTGTAAATAAAGATGATTAAATAAAAAAAATTTGCCTGATCAGTATGATATAGTATTATTTTTTATTGATGGTTCATCCATACACTACATATCAGTTATACTTCCAAAATTTTTGCACCGGATAACCCGCCCTAATATTTCTTCCATCATTTTAACAAATTCTTTTTGCTTAACTATATAAAATGGATACATTCCGGCCATTTTGAAGCATTAAATTCCGGAAAATATTTTAATTTTCACATGTTTATATGCGTGAATCGGGAAAAAAAATCAGTTTAAAAATTTCAGGGCTAAAAAAATCAATAAAAATATTATGAATCAATTGGTAAATTGTTGAAATATATCTGGTGGAATGGTGGTTGATAAAATATGATGTAGATAGATATTTTTCTTTAAATAATATTTTAATTTAATTTTCAAAATTTTTATTTTATTTATTGCTTTTTAAGTAAAAAAGTGATTTTTAAAAGGATCGGGATCGAATATTTAAAAAAATGATCTTGATGACAATCCACAATTTAAGGTCAAGATCTTAAATCCAAGAATATTTACAAATTTAGGATTGAATCCAGGATCGGCGATCTTTTAATTTGATCCTTTAACAACTCTGGCAATGAGATCATCTCGTTGACTGAATTATTTTAAGCAGATCTGGAGAAAAAAAATTAAAAAGTTATGGTTCAGCTGTTAAATTTTAAAAGTTAAAGGTTTTTTCCAGGTTTTGAAAATTTCGTAATATTTATATCAAGATAAATATATGAAAGGCACAAAAACATCAAGTAATTTTATATAATGTGTTCTAAAAGTAACAACACAATATTTAATCAAATAAGATTTATATGAATTGTAATTTGTAATGTAAATTTATTCAATCACTGAATATTGACTATATATTAAATGAAAAGTATTTTATGAAAGTTTTACTTTTAATTATATTAAATATAATGAAGCAGCAAAAAATTAAATATATAAAAAATCTAGCCAAATTTAAAAAATACCGTTTAAAAAATTAACAGGAGTGTAATTGATCAAATATAGGGTGTTACAGGGTTTCCCAATCAAAAAAGAAAAGTCTCAAAGGCTTAGGAAAAAGTCCAATCAAAAAATGAAAATTCCCAAAAGGAAAGGAAAAGTGTCAATAAATCAAAATTCCTTTTCAAAAAATTGTAAATTTTTCTTATTTTTATTTTTCCTTCTTATTTTATTTTTAAGTTTTTATTATTTCTTTTAGCCATTTTTATTTTTATTATCTTTTCTCGATTTATTTTTGATAATTCATTTTTGTCTTTTTAAAATTTTTTTATTAATTTTCCCTCTTATCTTTCTTCACTCCTCTAATCCATTTTTTATGTTATTTTTTAACAATTCTTTCCTCTTTTTCATTCTATATAATTATTTGACCTTATGATTTTTTCTCCTTATATTTTTAGCTTTTAAAAATCACTTAATTTTTATTTCTCTTTCGCAATCGAATTTTTTTTATTAATATTTTTGGCATATCAAATTTTTTCATTACAATTACGCTATATATATGTTGTATTTTTTAAAGGGATCAGAATCAGTACTATCCGAGATCATCATGGGATTTAAAGGAATCCCTTTAAGAGTTCAATTTTTTAAAGGATATCAATCGATAGCTATTCAAAATATCTATTCAATTGGAGGTTAATCTCTCTCCTTTAATGAGCGAATCTAGGTGTGGGCGCTACAGCTGACTCTATACTAATGGCATTTTTAATTAATGAATCGCCAATTAAGATTTAGAATTAATTTACCAATATAAATTAGTGTAGTAGATCGTTGCATTGTTCTTTCAAATATAGTTAAAAAACTATAACATCTTGGTTTTAGATTAGATAAAATATTTTGGATAGAAGAATAGTCTTTTCAATTCTCTGAGCCTAGTTCCAAATTGACAGTGCATTTTTTTTACTTCGCAGGGGGAATTTATACAAGGATTTGAAGCGGTTGAATTAATATATAACTTTGCTTTGTAATTGTATTATATAAAATTTAAAATATTAAAAAAATTTATAGGAATTAATGACAAAATTTAAAAACCACCTTTAAAATTTAAAAATTCATGCATTCAGCTCTATTATCAGGGATACCCTACATATGCTAAAATTCCGATCCAATAAATGGTATTTTAAACTTACTCAATCTAACATTGAAATATATCTTGTAACTATAGACTTGGCCAACTGGCAGTGAAGTTATCACAAAATATTCTTATGTAGGTAGGACTCCTGAAGATTTATCATTTAATAAGGGTGATATATTAACTATTTTATCTTCATCGCAAGTTTTTTAAATTTTATTAAATTTAGTGTATTCGATATTACTATAGAAATTAGATTGGTATTTTGCTCAAAGATTGGATGGTGCAAAAGGTCTTATTCCTTCAAATTACTGTGAATTGAGGAAAAAAATTTCACTGTACAACTCTATGCTGTAATTGATTTTTTTTTGCACGTTTAAATTAAATTCATTTTTTAAGATGGTTCCATGGTAAAATTAGTAGAGAAAAAGCTGAAATTATACTAAAAAATAAATCAAAAGATGGATATTTTTTAGTAAGGGAGAGCACAAATTTTCCAGGAGATTATACCCTCTGCCTACTTTGCAACAATATTGTTGAACATTATCATATAATTAACTCAAACACTATAAATGAAAATGATATAAATACTGAAGATGAGAAAAAATCTATGTTTACTATTGATAATGAAATATTTTTTGACAACCTTATTCAACTGGTCAAAGTATATCAAAATATTTAAAATAAAATATTGCAAAGATTTATATTTTTTTATAATTCCAAATTTTATTTTCAAAACTGTTAATTATATAAGCATGACTTTATTCATTTAACATCTTATATTTTGTTAAAATATATCCTGTTCTTATATTAAGTTAGATCATACTTAAATTATTTATTAGGATAATATAATGTCAAAAAAGATTTAAAGATATATTATTTTATATTAATATCAGAAGTAAGCATTATATATACTCAAGTATCAGTTAAGGATATATTTTAATTTGACCAATAGCAGCGGTCAATAGACAAAAATGATAATTAATTTTTACAAACTAAATAATATCTTAGTATATTGTTTGAATATTATTTTGGCTAAAAAGATAATATGGGATTTCTGATTAATATTAATATATTAGCAATTGGATATTAAAATATATTTCTCTAAAAATTATTTGAAATCTTAACACATTATTGCTAAAAAAATTTATATAGAATCAGGAAACTTTTTGAATGAGTAAGATGTTGTTTTGTTTGTAATTATTACCAATAAAAAAAATATATATTTTATGAATAAACTTGTTTTATAAAATGTATGAAACATTTTGCCCATATTTCATAATCAAATTTAATTCAATAATTTTCATAAAATTTTCCTATTTCATTCTTTATCAGCATTACTCTCTCAACGAAGATGGCTTGGTTTGCCTCTTGTGTAAACCAGTTTACCCTGAAACCTCTTCCATAAATTTGCAGAGTAACAGCAATAACCCCAAAAAACTCCCACATCAAAACAATGTCAAACAAAATTTGAATTCAAACCTAAATAACTCAAATAATTCGATAAATGCTACTAAAAATGGTGGCCTTAATCACATAAACAAAGAAAATATCGACGGAAATATAGAAAATGATAGTAAGATGTCAAAGACAGACGAATTCATAGTTACACCTGCCGTTTTTAAATCTGCCGGTTGGGCTATCAAACCTGATGCCTTGACTGTTCTAGATCCTATAGGAAAAGGAGAGTTTGGAGGTCAATTTTAAATGTTTTTTATTTATTTACACATAAGGGTGTTTAAAACTTAAAAAAAATTTGATCAAATTTCAGAACTTTCATAAATAAAAATATTTTAATAAACTATTTTAATTTTTTAAAATTTCTAAAAAAATGGTATAAAAAATTTTGGGCATGTTTTTACTTTTTAATGAAAATAAAAACGCTTATTTCTTTATTTTTTTTAAGGTAATTTTGTGAATCTCATAAGAATGAATGGTAGTTTATTAATATGTTTAAAAGTTTAAAAAATTTCGCCAGGATTTATATAGCCGAGAAGTGATAAAACAAATAATAACACAATTGGTACCTGTTCTATTCCTTATAAGATTTAAATTGTATTTCCCATTATTTTTCAAATTTTCTTAATAAAAATGGTTTGAGACGCCGAAATATTTTATTAGAAGCAAATTCGTAGAAACATCTGGAACTCTCATCAATGTGTTCCAAATAATTTTTCTAAAACACGAAAACTTTTTGTTGAACGTTCCTTTTCCTATGAATGTTCTTAAAATATCACCTATTTTTGTTTTTTCACCTCCATCTTTGTTGATGAGCTCAATCTAAGCTATTATAGAGTTGCTAAGGATAGGTGATTTAACCACATATATGCCAAGAAGGGGATAAAAAAGTCACCTATCTTAATCACGATTTACGAATAAGCTTGTTTTATTTAATGCCCGCGATAAAATTTTTAACGCAACTTGGCGCTTCGTTTATAAGATGTAAAATATTTTTTAAAAAATCTGTTTTTAATGAAAAGTTCTAGGTTGTATTACAAACCTTTATGGGATAATATTAGTATTGATAGTGCCAATTTTCTTTACTCCAAAAAGGAAAAAAATCAAATTTTTGAACAACTTGGTTTTGCGCTGGGTAAAATGTTTTGGATAGTAGAACAGTATTACAAAACCGTTGGGAGCAGTTTAAAATTTATAGTGCCAACTTTCTTTATTTCACAATTTTTTTTAACTTGGTTTTGGATAGTAGATGAGTATTGAAAAACCTATGGGAAGTATAAAATGAAATTTGGCAATTTTAATTACTCCACTAAGGAAAAAATCCAAATTTATAACCAACAAATCATATTTAGTTTTTCTAAAAATTTCAACTTTTTATTTCGCGGTGTAATAAGAATTGACAATTCATTTAAACTACTTCCAAAGATTTTTTATTACTCATCTACTACCCAACTTTCTATCCAGTTCAAAACCAATATTTTCCCTCATGGAGTAAAGAATTGTCACTCCCAACGGTTTTGTAATGCTATTCGGCGCCCAAACATTTTACCTGATCCAAAATCAAGAGTTGAAAAATTCTTCTTTGTACAGTAAATAAAGAAAATTGACATCAATCTTAAGCAATTCCTAAAAGGTTTGTATTATTGTTTTAACTATGTAGAAATTTATATCCGGTAAAAAATAAATTTTTTTTATAAATGTTTTATATTTTAAAATTGCGCTAACTTGCATTAGAAATTTTGTTCCAAAAAAAATCCCATTTTATATATTTATTTTTTGATTATAAAATAAAAGATTTTAATCAAATTTATAGAAATGATTCTTAGATAAATATGATATGATTTGCTATAAGATATTATTAATTTTTCTAAATTTGTTTCCAAAATAATAAATTAAGAAATTTTCTTATAATAAAATATTTTTTCGAGTTAAATTTAGTAAGCATTAATAAAACAAGCTTAATTCTTGATAATCCAAAGATGGAAGGTTTTAAAGATCTTTATTATTTCACAAAATCAACGATTAAGCAACCTAAATGTGTATATTATAAGTCTATGTATTTACAACACCAAAATATTATTTTAAATTTTAATCGTAGATGTTTTATTGGGAACTTTGAGGGGCAAAAAGGTAGCTATTAAAACTCTTAAAGACAAAAGCCCTAAAAGTTTTGAAAAATTCCTCGCCGAAGCCTCTATCATGACGTACGTTGTTTTTATTTTAATCTACTACACCATTTTTAATAATACTGTTAAGTATCTTTTATTATTGTAATTCATAATGATACTCTTCACTTTCAAAATGATATTTAACAATGTATATTTTATTTTATCATTGTAAATGCTAATTGTAAAAAATTGACGCCAATGATTTGTGAATTATAGTAAAGGCCATTCAAAAACAATCACGAATCAAATATTGCATTTTTCGAAATCGATTCTTATAAACGAATATAATAATTATTTGCTACATATTCTTACTCAAATTATTAATTTTTAAATTAAAATTTTTTAAATTAATTATGCCATAAATTGTAAAATTTAATTCATTACACAAATTATATAATAATATTTAAATAATTGGAATAAAATTTATATTATGATTATTTAACTAGCAATTTATCATAGTAAATAAAAGTGAATAAATTTGTTCTAAAATTCAAAAAAATGTAATATTAAAGGAAAATGGAACAAACACAAACTATATTCCTCCTAAACATTTCTATCAAATCTTTATTTTTTTTTCGTTTGAAAATTAAACGTCTTATCTGGAATTCGCTCAGAATATTAAGAAAACGAACAACGATATAATAATTTTAAAAAATTAGTTTTGAAACTTTGATTTACATAATTTTTATTGATATTTAAAGTCAAATTATTCCATTAAATAATTATTCCTTGTATTGGAATTAAATAATTATTTATTTGTATTAGAATAAATCGATTAATTACTAATCGTATTTATCAAGTGAATAGAATTAGTTGAAACGAATTGTTGAATAGCCTAAAAATAACGTATATCATATAGTTTATAAATAAATGTTTATTTTTATATAGGGAATCTTTTTTTTGCTAGATTCTTGAATTGACTTGTCCATACCTTTTTAATTTAAACGTTGATATAAAAAAAATAAAATAAGATCCTTTTTTTAAAAAAATTTGCAAGTATTTTTTTTTTCTAACTTCTCGATATCGTTCATTTAAATATACTCCCTCTTTACATGTTTTTTCATATTAGTGGCATCAAGCACGCTAATGTGGTTAGGTTTTTGGGCGTTGTTTTTGGAGGGGAAAGGGTTTATATGGTCTTGGAATACATGACACATGGAAATTTGCTAGAATTTCTAAGGTCAAGAGGTCGAAATGTTCTCACTCCTCCCCGTTTAATCAATTTCGCTGAGTGAGTTATATATTTTATTATGTATTTAAAATTGTAATGTATACTATAATATACCGTTATAAGCGTATTTATCTTCTGAATTTGTAGAATGGGGGAAGAAAAGGAAAGCTTATTTAAAACAGGGGAAACAAATATTGTTAATTTTGCTGTTAGTTATAATATAAAAAATTTAAAAAAACAAAAAATTTTCAGCCTCGTTGTGTTCTTTAAAATTACTTAATTTTGAAATTTGTTTCGAACTTATATTTGTCATAACTCCTTATGTTGATAACTTCATTAAAATTTTAAAAACATTATTTATAATATAATACTTCAAATAAATTTGAAAAAATGGTAGTTTGATAATAGGAATTTAATTATATTTTTTGAAACAAAAATGAATAAATAGTGATTGCTGCAAAGGTATGATGTATTTGGAGAGCAAACAAATAATTCACAGAGATTTAGCCGCTAGAAATGTGCTATTGGACCAGGACCAAATGGCCAAAGTATAAAAGATAGTGTTGTTAAAGTTACTTTTCAAATGTAGCTAGTTATAATTAAAACTTTTCCAAAACGCATAGTTTTACTTGAAATGTAACTAATCACCTTTACTTAAATCTAAATTACCATCTTAATTTTTTTCAAAAATGATGTTAATCATATGACTTAATGCATTAAACAAAAGCAGCTTTAAGAAAAAAGTAATCATTATTTATTTTATAAATCTATTATTTATTATATAAGGACAAATCATAATGTACATTATGTAAAATTAGGCCTAAAACGAATTATTAGTTATTCGATTTAATCTGATTCGATTCGTATTTTACGAATACGAATAGCACAAACGAGGAAAATTATTCATTTATTCGAAATTATTTATTTATAAATATTCGTAATTTTTTGAAAATATTTTATTGTAAGTATAATAAAAAAAGAAGTAATTAAATTTTCCTAGTGGATATCATTTCGTTTATTTTATTTTATTTCCTATTATCAAATCATAACAAGTTATATTTTCTGATAAAGTTATGGAAAGAGAAACGCCCCAACAAAATAAACTAAAATATAACTATTTTATTTTGATGATTTGGTTTTAATCATTTTTAGTGTTATGAACAAGTGAAATTTTATGGAGTGTGCCTCTCGATATTATTAAACTCCTGGCAGATAAATAACTAAATTTTCTTGACTAGTTCTTATTCTTTGATTAGGAAAATTCTTTTCCCATTTAGTGACCTTATTTTTGAGAAAATTAAAAACAATCATCTAATTCAGATAGTGTATCATAATCATTATCATCTTCATCCTCACAGAAAATTATTATAACTTAAATATTCTTACTATAATATCACAATACTAGGTCCTAGACTAAAAATGGAATTTTTTGAACAACCACCAACATCATATAACATAGATACAATAATTCTATTAGAAAAATTTAAGGATGTATATAATGAATACAAAGTGAAATATAATATCAATACAACATCAGTTAGCGCAATAGTACAGTCGAACTTGGATAGAATTTTCAAACAAAATAACATCGCATCAATATATATGTGAGGTGGAAACATATCTTAATGAATTAAGAATCAGTTCTAATAAGAGTCCACTAGAATGGTGGAGATTGCATGGGGATCGTTTTCCTGTGTTGTCTAAAATGGCAACTGATATATTGTCAATTCAGGGATCTTCGGCATCAAGTTAGTGGTTATTCTCAATAGGAACAAATATGATAATGAAAAATAGAATGTCTTGAAGGAGGTAACTTTTAGAAAAACTTTTGATAAAACTGGTTATTATCAAATTCGGATCTATCATTATATATAATTTTTCTGTATTATATTTTGATGATTATGAAATGACGTTATATGTAATCATTGGGTTTAATTTCGTTTATTTTCTGTAAATTTTTATATGCTAATGACAATTAGTTTAGAGAATCCTTAAAAGTGTCATCTTAAAACATTACATCTGTTTATAATTTTTTTTGCAAAAAATTATATATTTTTTATAAGCTTTAGAAAAATTTTAGAATCAAATAGAATAATGATTTTATTATTTAAATACGAATAATAAATTATTCGATATTATTCGATTCGTACAAATACGAATAGCACAAATATTCGATTAGATTCGTTTTTTTGTAGGCCTATAAAATTGCACAGCTTACTAGAAAAGAAATCAATAATTAGGAGAATTTTAATATAAAAAATATAAAATAAAAATGATTTTTTTTAAAAATTACCTAAATTAATAAATCGCAAGCTGCTTTTAAGATTTTAAACATACAAACTTTTTATTTTCAATATGATTGATTTAGAGGACAAAAAAATATGATAGATTTAGGTAATGATAGATTTGAATTAGGTATTTTATACTCATGAAATTGAGTTGAAATATTTTAGGAAAACCTTAAAACTAAAATTACATTTATAAATCAATATAACCTTTCTCGTCATGATAACATCTAGCACACAAACTATTTTTATGTTTCACCCCCCCCCCCCCCCGTCCCCTATATCAACTTAGCTCTCAGATTTCGGCCTAGCCAAAGAAGGATCCTTCATAAACAACAACTTACCAAATCCCCCAAACAATTTTCCGGACACGAATTCTAATTCTCTCCTCGTCAATACCAATAATCATCACTCAACTACGAATAATATTCTTGCGAATGAAGGCGAAATGCTAAATAATACCAACGAAGACCCGAATGGGAAATTTCCTATCAAATGGACAGCACCAGAGGCCCTTAGAGATAACAAAGTTTTTAAAAAAAATTATAATATTTTATGGTTCATTTTAAGGATTAGCACTTGAATCATGTTATATAAAAAATTAAAATAATTTTATTATTCTAGGTTAGTTATACTTTTTTAGACGAAATGCTAAAAAGTGGAAAACATAATCAGACTGTTATTATATTTATACAAATAATATAATTATTTTATTCGTGTTAATGTCAAATAAGAAATTCTCATCAAAGTCGGACGTTTGGAGTTACGGTGTTTTGTTATGGGAAATATTCAGTTTCGGAAAAGTTCCCTTTTCGAGAATCGTACAATAATATAAACATTATTTATTTTATAATAATGTTAATTTATATAGCATATTATAGAGGCTTTAAAAAAATTAACCAAAATTTTTTTAAAAAAGAAGACACTTTTATTTTATTTTTATTAATGATTTATGATTTTATTTTTAAATTAAATTTTGAAAAAATATTTTTAAAGAACAAATAATTTTGAAATGTTTTTACCTTTTTCTTATACTTATATAAAGCACATTTAAAAAAATAATTTAAAATAAAATGGAAAATATATTTTTTTAAAATTATTTACATTATAGACCTCCAAAAATATGAATCAATAATTTCATTATTCATATTCGATTCGAAAATTTTATTTTTCTAAAAAATTGGATTATTATATTTTGTAAAAAATTTAGATTTTGTGAAAATAAAGATAAAAATAAAAAGTTCCTTCCAAATTATTGAATATTTAAGAATTCGTTTTTAAATAATTAAATCAAATGATTTTTCATCAGTATTCTATTATAATAATTGTAAATTCGTTATAGTCCTCGTAATTACGTGGACATTCTCATATAATCAATCATGCAATATTTATATCTGATCAACCTAATATTTAATAGTTTAGCACTTATTTATATCCTAAATTAAAAAAAAATAAAGCCTTTATGTGATGTGATAAAGCACATAGAAAAGGGATACCGACTCGAAAGCCCTGAGGGATGTCCCGACACCATGTATAAATTAATGCTTAATTGCTGGGATTTAAATTCCGACAAAAGGCCGAGTTTTAAACATATTCACTCAGATAATCTCAACAATCTTAACATAACCACAACAACTACTTCTCATTGAATTATTTTTCGCGTTTTTATTTTATGTCATGTTCTGTAAACGTGTATTTACCGTACGTTGTTAGATATAATTATTGTAATAATTTTTTTTTTATATTTTATATATTATTTCTTCTTTTAAATTATATAATTATTTTAAATAATACAACTGCATTTGACTTTTTTTACTTCGTTTTTTCCCCCAGATTATGTATTATTTTTTATAAAAATAATCATGTCGGAACCAAATGAGGCAATTCTTCATATTTTACTTATATTTTTGTTCCATTAAGATGTAGATATGTTTAAATAGTATCTAACACCACTAATGTTGATATTCGACTAAAAAAGAATGATCACGTTTCGCGTCTAGGATTAAGCGGGTTTGAAGTTGGGTCGAATTGGGTGATTGAAAACAAAATTTACGAGAAAATGATTAATAAATTTTGGGAAAGTAGACCCAACCTACAAATAATGTAATGTCCCAACTCCTATACAATTTTTAAATTAAATCATAATTTTTTATTGGTTAAAATTAAAATGATTTTTTTTTGCTTTTGTCTAAACGCTTTTGGGGCAGATCTGTTGGTATCGATTTATAATCCATACCTGGCGTAGCCATGATTTTCTTAAGGGGGTGATTTTTCCACGGGTTTTAGGTTTGCTTTTTACAGATCTTTGGCAGATTTACATTATTAAACATTATTTTGTGTTTGCACTTTTTTTCTTCTTTTTAATAAACACATATTTGGCTAATATATATATATATATAGTAACATTTAAAATTAAAATAAAACAAAGAAACAAAAATAATTATTCAACTCAGAGAGATGGGAATGACATAATTCCATCGGAAGGTCTCAATAGATATGTGTTGCCTAATATATTTCACTAAATCTGTGTCTAAGTGTTTTCCTAAAGTTTTTATTTTATAGTAAGCTTCATTGCAAAAAATACCAAGAGACATGCGACTTTTTTGACAAAACATTAGTTCTAACTAAGGAAAGCCTTTCACATCCATGATGTATTTTTTGTTAATCACATCACATGTCAGATTGATAGGTTATCAATAAAAATTATAAAATGTTATTGAAGAACATTTTGATAATTATTCCGAATAATTTAATATTCGATCAAATTATTCGATTAGAATAAAACTAATTATTCGATTTATCTAATTTAAATAAAACTATTAAATAAAACTAATTATTCAGATAATTTGCTTAATAAAAAAATTATTTAAATATCTAATATTCAAATCGAATATTTATTCGCTATCAAGCAACGCATAATTTACTATTTGTATTCTTTACTACTCGATTCGAATTATGCGATTCGTTTTCGAATAGGTCTATTAATGTTTCAAATTAAATTCATCAAAAAAATAGTGGAATATCTAAGTTTTGAGTCCAATTTGGATTATATATATAGCATTAACCCAGGGGCGTCACGAGCCTTTACAATCTTAGGGGGCTAAAAATTTTAAAAAATTACCTTCTTTTTTTAGAACCGAGGGAGTAGGAATTAATCCCCCCCCCCTACACACCTTACTAGTGCAAGTGATCTTTAGTTAAAGAGTAACTTTATATATTATGAACAATTTTTATCAGAATTTCTAGGATCATGTATATCATATTGATTTTATTTATTCTTTATTATGCTGGCAGTACATCTCGCTTTAGATCAATGTTTATAGCATATTAGATTTTATATTTTTTTTATTAGTATAATTTTATAAAAATTAATATACATTTTTTGATGTTTAAATAAGATTATTAAATTAAATTTCTGATGTTATAGGTAATATTCATATATTGTTATTAATTAATATTATTCATTATTTAGCTTATCAATATACCAGTGACGAAGGGTTCATAGAAGCAAGGGGAGCATTACTTCCCTTGTAATTTTTCCTAAAAAATTCTAAAATAAAATGAATATAATCTTTATGCAACTTTAAAAAAATTAATACTATTTATATTACGTTAAAAAAAATTAATATTATTGTTCACATTAAAGGTCTGCATTGGGAGTTTTTAGCCCACCCGCCCACGCCTACCCATCTAAATTTAGAAGGTGGAAGAGCGAGTTTAAATTTAAAAGAATTGGAGGATAAGTGAACGGGTTAAGAAAACTTAAACTGTGGGCGGGTGGGTTAAGTACAATTTTATTTTATTTAAAATCATTTAAGTAAACAAAAATATGGTCCCAGAAATTTCAAAATTTTTAATACCATTGTACCGAATACTGAGGATATTGTCATCGGAAGAAATTAATTAGGTAAAAAATATTTCGAAAACATGTATTTGATTTGCATGGAAGAATATAACATCAAAATCAACTTAGATGAAAATCAGAGAATTCAATTAAAGATTATTATTATGATTACAATGGTTAAATTAGTTAACAACCACGTCAAAATTAGACATCAGGGGAAGATGTGGCTTATATAGAGTAAGGAATTACCTAATGACATTACAAAATATTAAATATTAAAGTAACGAGTTTTTGTATAATTTAACAAGATTTTAGGCTACTTAGTTTAGTTTAAGTTTACAATTTATAAACAATTAATTTAAATTACTTTTTTTAAAATATTAATTATTAATAGTTTCACTTTTTATTTAAATATCTCACTCGAGTAAAGGATATACTTCAAACGAGTATCCTACTTTAATGGAAACGACAAGAAAAAGTTTTATAAAAATTTTCAAATTAGCTTGAAAAATATTGGCAATTCCAGCAACCAATGCTTCTTCTGAACGAGAAATTAACATTGCTGGAAGGTTTTTAGTATCAATAAATATTAATTTTATATTATTACATAAATATCTTATTAGATCAAATAAATTCCTTATCCGTTATTTAAATGGAATATTTTTTAATGCTTAATATACCAATTTCTTAAATTTGAAAACATTTTTGTAGGGATATATCGCTGAAACTAAATCATTTTTTTTATTAGTTGTTAAAAAAATTGAAAGAATGGGCTTATTTAAAATTTTTTATTAATAATAGGCGGGCAATTTTTTAGACTAATAGCCGGCGGGTAAAAAGGGCCGGCGGGAATAATTTTTAAAAACTATGAGCGGGTTGGGCTGATTAAATTTTTTAAAACTTTTAAGCCATATTTATACAAAAAATCTATGGAAAAGATAGATTTTTGTTTCTTGTAAAATTTTAAAAATATTAGAAGATTAGTGAGACCAAATTGGTTATAATAATTTATTCTATATAAAAGGTGAATATTTATTTTGCCTATCAAAAATTTCTAATTACTATACATTAATTTATAAAAGAGGCTATTGAGTTCGATTTTAAATTTAAACCGGTATATTTGGTTGTAGATAAAAAGTGCATAAAATTTTTAGAAAATATTAGCTTAAAATTATTCGTATTTGTCGAAAAAATTGACCCAAAATGATTTGAGTTATGAACTGGGTCGGGAGCTCAAATCGACTATAGTTGTGAACTCAGGTTGACTCGATTCGTAAACTCAAGTCTATATGCTTAGTCGACTAGAGGACGAGTAGTTCTATGAACTTGAGTCGACTAGAGGCTGAAAGTTCTACTTGAGTCGTCAATTTGAGTCGACTAGAGGACGAATAATTCAGATTTATTATTATTAATTAAGATATTTGTTCTGTTTTTTACATTTTTTTCTTGAGACTTCTAACTTGAGTCTTGAATAAGAATATGTTTTAGTCGACTAGAGGACGAAATTTTCCAATTAGTTATTATTAATATATTTATTATGTTTTTTACATTTTTTTACTTTAAACCTCTAACTTGAGTCGTGAATAAAAATTATATAATTGAGTCGATTAGAGGACGAATAATTCTATGAATTTGAGTCGTCATTTTGAGTCATATAGAGGAAGAATATTTCAAATTAGTTATCATTAATTAAGATATTTTTTTTGTTTTTTACATTTTTTACTTTAGACTTGCATGAGTCGTGAATACGAATTATTTTCCTGAGTCGACTAGAGGATGAATAGTTAAATAAAGTTGAGCTGACTAGAGAACGAATACAAATTAGTTATTATTTGTTAAGATATTTGTTCATTTTTATTTTCGTTTTTTAAAAAATAAAATTAAGAATCTATAGCTAATTTTTTGGATAAGATTCCACGTTTTCTTATGTGATAAAAAAAATTAAATTATATATTTGTACATGAATCATTAAAATTTAAATCATTATTTGAATTATATATTTGTATATAGATGTGATATCAGCTCAATAAATTTTTTGGCTCAGTTTCTGAATCGAGATACATTTGTACTATATCTAAAAAAGTTTTTAGACGATGTATTTGGTAATTTTAAATATGGCTAACTCAGTATTTTATCCAGAAAAATATTACGCAATCTGAAGATTTTGCCCATAGATGGCAAATAAATTTGACATCTATTGGAGAAATCTCGAGGCTTAGGTAATATTTTCTCTGGCGAAAATATTAAGTTAATCATTTTTAATAATTTTACATATATCATTACATTTAAATTGATATATTGTTAAATGAAAAAAATTTTCATTTTTCTCACAAATTATATATTTACAACATATGACTTTTGATCCTTATTAATTGTTTGTCCATATTTAATTTCAATATGTAATAAATTAAAATAAAACTACTTTGTTTACCCTTTTATTGTATATTTAATAATAATTATAATACTCGTTTCACGCAGGGGTGGCTTAGTGGGTTATGATGTAGACATGGAAACAGAAGGTCCCAGGCTCGATCCTGGTAAGGAACGTAAAACTTTCCGGTTTTTCTTCGATGAGATGTGTAAAGACATATGGTAGGATGAATTTCGGAGCTTAGAGATGGCACTCCAGTCACCGACAGGCTTGGACAGCCGGGTGCTAAGGATACTTGTCCTATAACCAAAAATGAAGGACACAAATGAAAATATGAATATGAAAGCTAGGGCGTTCCCTCTAAGCGATGCGTAGAATGTAGACCTCCATCCTGCGAATAGTAAAATAAAAACCAAAGCAAAGATGACAAGGTTAGCAAGTTTGAATATTGGCACACTTAAAGATAAGACGGAATTGGCATGTTGAAGAAGAGAAAAGTAGATATAGCGTGCATACAAGAGACGAAATGGAAAGGTCAGAAGACTAATGATTGGAGATGGGTATAAATTGTACTATAATGGAATTGTTAGCAATAGGAACTGTGTCGGCATCATCTCAAAGATCTAACCCCCTCAGTAGTAGAAGTCAACAGGATATCTGATAGACTAATGAAGATAAAAACTTTGTGTTGTAATTTTCGTTTTGGATTTATTATTATAATGCGTGATAAAAATATTATATTTGAATAGTGAGAACTGAAAATAATTTAAGTTATGAATATTATTTATAAAGAAGATTGAAAAGAGTATAAAAACTCCAATATTTACCATTCGAGATGATCTTTTATAATTATTAACTTTTTTGTATTTTATTATTTTTATTAATCTTTTTATATTTTTACTTTTATAATTTTGTTAATTTGATAATGTTATAATTTTGAATAAAGGATTAAATTGATTTCATGATTTCGTGATTCCTAATTATTATTAATTTCTTTTTTATATATATATATTTGTTTTCTATTTTTATTTTTAGGTTTCAAAAGTCCCACTTTCAACATTCCTAATTATTATTAATTTCTTTTTTATATATATATTTATTTTCTATTTTTATTTTTAGGTCTCAAAAGCCTCGCTTTCAACATTGGTACCGAATATTTTTAGGTTTTAAACTAGCTGCTTACAACAGTAATGCCTAAAATAAAGACCCAGGGGATTTAGATCTTCAGTATAATGCCAACCAAACTCCATACAAAAGAAAGAAATTCAAAACGGAAAAGGGGTAAGAAAAATATGAATTTGACAATGAAAAAGAGAAATTATTTTGATAAGATTAGGTTCATGTTGGAATATAAAATCTAAAATTAAAGACAAAGGTAACATTCATAGTAGATAAGATATAATTGTGTTTAGTTATTTAAAGGTGATAATTAGGAATTTTATATTTAGAAGTTACTGGTAAACTAAAAACCATTGGAATTTTGAAACTAATAGAGACTATGATATTTTAGATTTTAGAATTATTATTAATTGATCACTAGAAATAACTATGACAAAGAAAAAGAAACATAAATTGCGAAAGTTAATATTAAACTAATAGTTTGCTAAGATATAATAATTTAAGAATTCGGTGAATAAGATTAGAATATAACTTTATTGTTAGGAAATAGTTGATTAAATTCTTATTTAAGTTTAACTTTTATTTTAAGGGCTGCGAGAGATAAAACAGCCTCAAGGATTAATGTGAATGTAGTATATTAGGTTGTAGATTAACCAAAAATCTTCTTAAAGAGAAACGGCTTTCGTCATTAGAAAATTTATGCCGCAATCGAGCTCAATTAGAGATCGGATTTTTATTTTTTTGAATCATAAATAAGATTTGAGATCAATTATGCAACATTATTCTAATAATAACAGAAAGAAAAACATGCCTTAGAAATATACATATCAGTTTTCAACAACGGTTGTGCGAAAAATTATAATGATTAGATTTCATAAGTTCTTCAAAGACGTGGGGTGAAAACCATAGTGATTAGAGTTAAAGGGTTGTTCATAAACGTTAGTATGAAAACTTTTATGATTAGATGTCATTGATTTCTCAACAACGTATGTATGAAAAGAGATTTATATATTCCAGCAGTTTTTTTTAAAGACTTGAGTGTCAAAGAGTACATGAGGAAATAAATACACAATGATAATTTTTTTTAAAAAATAGATTTTGATATATATTTTAGAATAGGATTTTTAGATATAAATTTAGTATAGACATGGCTGAAAAGAAGATGAGGATCAATAGCTAAAGGATGAGTACAAGTAAATTTTTCAATGAAAATATGGGTCTAGGCTTCATTAAGGGGAAAGGGGTGATAGAATTTGATATATTGATATAATTTATTATATATATTTTTGCTACGTATTATAAATTTAAGATTTAGTATAATTTACGCCATTTATTAAAGGCAGAATTAGACTAGAGGAGATAAATGTAGAGATTAGGATGAAGTTGGTATATTTATATATTTTATTAGTATATTTGAATTAGATAGTTATATTTGAAAATAAATATAAAAAAGTGATAAAATATTTCAGAAGTTATTTAAATAGATTATTTTAGTTAGAAGTAGATTAGATGTGATTACCTGAAACCTTAAGATAAAGTCGATATCTCAGCAAAGGCAAACTGTCGTAGAAGACCCGGAAGTCTAAAAGATAGATATGATTACAAGAATTAGAGGCAACAACCAATCAATTACAAGAGAAAGTAGAAAACAAGCGAATTGATAGAAAGTATGGTCAAGACGTGATGCTGCAATCGTTAGCCAATTATTACTGAGATATTAGTCTAAGATACGGAATTCGACAATCGTAGGAATAAGAATTCGTGAAAACCATCGTTTATCGCAGACCAATCAATTGTTTATCGAGATAAAGAGCTAATCGTGGATTACAAGAGAATGATAGAAAACAAGCTACGATAAATTGTAAAAAAAAATAAGACAGACTAGAAAAAACAAAAGTTGAAAAAGAAACTGGATGTCATCGATAATCGTTCATCAAGCGCTGATCGTGGAAAACAGGCGTTTGTCAAGTTCGTCAGTCGTCTACAGAGATAAAAAGCCGATCGTTTCCCAGGGTGCCAAGCGACAGAAGATAGAATTCAAAAATTTCAAGCGATGATTGAATACAAACGGTCGTTCGAAACCAAGAATAGAGTCAGCCTTCGTTAGAACTTAGAAGACAGCAAGGATTAAGAAGAATAGATATGGTGTATATATGAGGTCAGTAAAGTCTAAACCGAAAGAAGATTGATTATTCGCAGAATGTTGAGTCTAATTTAAGTGGGGAGTTGTTGTAATATTCGTTAAATTTGTACTTTATATTTAATTTGCATAAAGAGTTCTTTTGGATTTATTATTATAACGCGTGATAAAAATATTATATTTGAATAGTGAGAACTGAAAATAATTTAAGTTATGAATATAATTTATAAAGAAGATTGAAAAGAGTATAAAAGCTCCATTTTTACCATTCGAGATGATCTTTTATAATTATTAACTTTTTTGTATTTTATTATTTTTATTAATCTTTTTTTTTATTTTTACTTTTATAATTTTGTTAATTTGATAATGTTATAATTTTGAATAAAGGATTAAATTGATTTCATGATTTCGTGATTCCTAATTATTATTAATTTCTTTTTTATATATATATTTGTTTTCTATTTTTATTTTTAGGTTTCAAAAGTCCCACTTTCAACATTCCTAATTATTATTAATTTCTTTTATATATATATATATATAAATTTATTTTCTATTTTTATTTTTAGGTCTCAAAAGCCTCGCTTTCGACACTTTGCATTGGTCAATCAATACTACACATCCTTTCATTATATGCTCCTCAAACGGGTTGCAAAGTAGAGGAGAAAGATGACTTTAGAGCTATCCTTGATAAAACTGTAATGGAAATTCCTAAGAATGACTATTCGTCCTCTAGACGACTCAGGAATATAATTCGTATTCACGCAAGTTGCAAGTCTAAAGTAAAAAAATGTAAAAAAAGATCAAATATCTTAATTAATGATAACTAATTTGAAATATTCGTTCTCTAGTCAACTCAAGTTGACGACTCAAGTTCATAAAGCGTCCTCTAGTCGACTCAAGTATAAATTCGTATTCAGGGCTCTAGTTAGCGATCTTAAGTAAAAAAATGTAAAAAACAACATATCTTAATTAACTAATTTAAAATATTGGCCCTCTAGTCGACTTAAGTTGACGATTCAAGTTCATAGAACTATTCGCCCTTTAGTCGACTCAAGTAATTAATTCTTATTCACGACTCAAGTTAGAGGTTTAAAGTAAAAAGATTTAAAAAACAAAATAAATATTTTAATTAATAGTAACTAATTTGAAATATTCGTCCTCTAGTAGACTCAAGTTGACGACTCAAGTTCATAGAACTATTAGTCCTCTAGTCGACTCTAGTATATAATTCTTATTCACGACTCAAATTAGAGGTTTAAAATAAAAAAATATAAAAAACAGAATAAATATCATAATTAATAATAACTAATTAGAAATATTCATCCTCTAGTCGACTTAAGTGAACTATTTTTTATATAGTCGACTCAAGAAAATAATTCTTATTCACAATTTAAGTTGCAAGTCTAAAGTAAAAAATGTAAAAAACAGAACAAATATCTTAATTAATGATATAATTAATTTGAAATATTCGTTCTCTAGTGACTCTAGTATATAGATTTGAGTTCACGACTTGAGTTAATCGACTAATTCGACTAACAACTAGAGACTTTGAGTCGGAGTCGGGTGAACTCGACTTTTTAACAACACTAGGACTTACTAATATTTAGTGACTTAATTTTTAAAATTTAAATTTTGAAGTCGCAGTATTTTTTTATAATTATATCCATGTGTCTATCTATAATGATAAACAATAAACAACTTATATATTAAATCTCATCATAAACATATGTTCAATGTTCATAAATAATGAAGAGGTATTATTTCTTTTTTTTTAAAAAAACATGAAAATTTATCATTCTTAGTGCAAATTTTTTATTTTGTACAAATTTTTCGCTCAAGATTCAAAAACAGAAATTAACAAATTTTTTTATAAATATGATTAAAATAATATATTCTTTAAAATATTATCTTGATCGTTATCATTTATTTATCTTTGTTGGATTAAGCTTTAGCCTTCTTTTCCTAATGATCAATTCAAGTAAAAATATAATATTTCATTCTTTTTTTTTAAATTTATTTAATTGTATCATATTTAATTATTAAATGAATATTTATCAGATCGAATAAGCTCTTGTAAATTTGGGGACGTATTTTATCAAGTAGATGATATTTGGTATCCAAAAATCAAAGTTGATTCGCAAAAGACAAGAGAATCTTTGCCCATCAAATGCCAATGTTTGAAAGTATAACATAATTGATTAATTTATCTTTTTTTTTGAAATAATTTTAATTAATTATTTTTTATTTGATATTTAAAAATGAAAAGGATTGATAAATATTATGCATTTGCATTTGTATTTTTTGTAACTATTCAAAATTTTCAAGCCAAATAATTTATATTTAAATCACGTCATTGAAAACTTTAAAATATTATACAACATATTGCAGTTATTGGTCTAAATTTGATTTAAGCATTTGAACGCCTTTAAAATGGGCTAAATATTTTTTCGACTGAGCAGGCGAAAATAAAGTTAAATTTTTATCATTGACTGCTGGTTACATTTTCTTTTTGATAAACTATGGTACTTCTAAATATAATAATGATTAATTTTAGTTTTTTTTAAAAAAAATTTGTGATTTAAAAATTTTTTTTTGCATGAACATTAATAAATATTTACTTATATAGTAATTATGAAAGATTTTTATAAAAAGATTTATTTAAAAAAGATTTTGGCATTTTTAGGTAATATTTGATCAATCTTCTTTCTTATTTAAAAAAAATTTCCTAAGTTTTAAAGATTTTTTTTACAAACTCTGCATATGTTTACTATTATAATTTTCTATTCTATTCTGAATATGATATATATTTAGTTAGCAGCTGAATTAAAGAATTTTTTTAAAATATACTTGCCATCATAGCCGTAATTTCTGAGGTCTCTATAAACTTGCATGCCACATCGGAATTATCAATATTAAAAAGAAAATGCGCTTTGTGCAATCTATATGCCATTAAGTATAAATTATAACTTTAAAAAAATATGTGAAAAGTGAGTATTACACAAAATTAACAGGCGTGAGAGTGGGGCAAAGGGGCTACCCCTTCCAAGGCAAAACAGTTTTTTTTAATATTGGCATATTTAGTAAATTTTATGGAGTATTCATTATATTGCATTTATAATAAACTCAAAAAGGAATAATTTATAAATAAATTATTTCGAATTTTGAATTTTCCTTACGTATTTTAAAAATTAAATTTAATAATTTATTAAAAATATGGATTAGAGAACGGCAAAGCCCGGCCCGTTAAGAATTTTCCTACAAGTTGCCCCACCCGACCCAGGTGATAAATTTGCTCAGCGCGGCCTGAAATATTATTTTTTTTAAATTTGCCCGGCTCGTGTCCTGGCCATTCAAAATTAAACAAAATGTCAGGTACCACCTGTTAAAAATTTACGAAGAGTCCGCCCCGGCCTTTAAATTTTTTTGTACGAATTTTCCACACATCACATTTTTATATCTGTCCTAGTATGTTATGTATTAAAAGCATGTTTTTCTCATTTAATTTTGTTAAACGTCAACCAGATGTATACATCTGATTGGTGTAAAATTATTATTATTATATTCAAAAGGAAATAATGATTATTATATAAGCTACATATTTCGAGATATTCATTAATTAATTAATTAATTATAAAAAAACTTGGAAAAAATATTATAATTTTTATAAATTGAATATATCGTTATTGAATTCTTTTTAACAATATAAATTTTGTAAATTCATGATGAAAATTCCGGATTATTTTGATTTTTAAGAAATTAATAAAAGAGATTATTTGGATAATCAGACTTCTAATATTTTACCATCTTTTAAAATATCCACATATAATTTTTTCCCAAATTGAATTAGCTTTTATATCTCTCCTCTATGGCTATCTATTTTTTTCTACAACAACCATTTAATGAATCAATTGTGTTTGATATCTGTATTGTGTATTTGTAATTGGATCAATGACATATATAATACCTAGACTGACGATTCATTCATTAAAAGTGTACATCAATGCAAATCAGCTGTAGACGCCATCTTGGTTACACTAATCATTATTAAAATTTTAAACGAGTGCCTAATTTATTCCTATATCTGATGCAAACTTTATTAAAGAATTACCGGATCATCGAGATAATAAGGAAACAAGTTATCAATTTAATAGTAGTTTTTAACATGAGAATAATTACTATATGTGTTACCAAAATGGCGGGTCCAGCTGATTTGCTTTTAACGACGCTTAAAAATGCATCTTAATGAATGAATCGTCAGTCTAGGTATTATATATGTCATTGAATTGGATCATATCATGAATAACTTGTTTATTTTTTTGTGAAGTTACTATATTATTTATAGATTTAAAATTTTAGTTAGGCAGCTCTTAAAATACAAAGAAATAAGAATATTGTAATTTATTTTCAAATAGTAATAATCAAAATCAAAATATTAGTTTGAGATTCAAAATAATATATATCAAAAATTTTAATGTCACGCCTGGCCTATTAAAATTTTACCGAAAAAAGATTTAAGAGACTCTGCCAAATTTTTTATATAAAAATTGTTCGGCCCAGCCAGAAATATTTTTATATGTGAATTATCAGGCCCGGCTCGTTATAATCTTTTGCCTGGCCCGGGCTTTGCATATCTCTAACCTGGATCGATTACAGAAAATCTTATATTTATTATCTACATTTTAAACTTAGATACTGCTGTTGGACAAAGATCGTGACTCAAAATTTCTCAAACTATATACCACTCTTACGTCCAAATTCAAAGCAGAGATATATAATTTTGAGATTTCAAAGTTTCGACTTTTTAAATATACAATTACAATTAGATACAATATAAACAATTTTAAAAAAAACACTAGTCTAGAAATGTTAGGTGTAAACTCTCTCATTGTAAAGATCACCCTGATATCTATGAATGTCTCTCACTTCAAAATAAAGGTTTATATCTCCAAAAATTGTTTGCATGATCCTATATGTTAGAAATATCTTCCTGTTTTTTCCCCCCAATTATCACTCAAAATGCATTAATTTAGATAATTTTTTACCTTTATTTTGTCATTCAGTTAAAATGTATTTCTACAAGTATGATATCATAATATCGAAGTAAATTTTAAAATTAAAAGATGCATGTTAATGTGTTTGGTTCTCAATTCGCTTATCTATTATAATATATAACAATCAATTATTATTTAAAAGGATCAAAAGATTTAGAATACGATAACTCTTCATACCATTCAGAAAAAGACAAAAGCATATTATCCGCTCATCTTATAGTCGACAGTAATAGGCCATTCATCAAAAAGTTTTATTCGAAAGATCAAAACGGTATTAACCATAAAAACAAGGTATACAGAGCAAGATACGACGAGACATCCAAAGATTGTGTATTCAGAGGCAAATTTTATAAACACTATTCCAAGTTCACTACAAATTATAGCGGGCTTGCAACAAAGAATTCAGATCAATGCGTCGAATGCATATGCACTGTAATATAATATTTAATGGTTTGAATAGAAGAATGCTTTAGCGGTCATATCTGAATTATTTTTTTCTTTTAAAAAATGTATGTGGTAAATTGGATTGGAATTCTCACGTGTGGATTTAGAATCACTTAATTTTCAAATATATGAAGACGATTTCTAAATTTAAAAAATCTGATTTTGCCGGAAATGCATGAGTGGATAGAGTATACCCTATGAATTTTAGACAATTTTCGCCATGATTTTTTTTAATGCTTTTTTTAAAAAAATGAAATTCAAAGTAGTTCAAAAGTTACGGCGAAATTGTTTGAAATTCTTACCCTGCATTCACAGTTAGCGTGAATTCGCGGTGGGAGATTACAAAAATACAACAAACATTTTCATATGATAATTATGAATCGTATATTAAAAAATGATTAATAAAATAAAGAACCAAAAAATTTTGTGTCGCCTGAGAACTTGTGGATTTATAGCTTCATTTGATTGTGAAGAGAAGGAACTGGTCGTGGCGGAAAAAGAAGGATGTTGCCCTGTTTGTAAATCCTCAATTCCAAGTTAGAAATTTTCGTTATTAAGTTAAATATTTAAAAAATATTTTCGATATACTCAATAAAAATGGCGATTATATCAAAAAAGTCATTGAAGGTTTCATTCATTATATCTTTATAAAAAAGTTTCTTTTTAGAATCTTATTTTCATTTAATATTAAAATTATAAGCCATGCCCGGAACGATCTGACCGAACTCGGGTCAACTCGAATAATAATTTTCTCAGGCTCGATTGGATTGGAACTTGATTTAAAAGAATTTTTGGATATACATTTGTTTTCCTAATATTTTTATAAATTTATTTTTTAACGAAAAAACACTCAAATTTATTTTCATTCAGCGCCTATTTTCCGCCTTCGTTGAAATATCTTACTTTTTTTTAAACAGTCAATAAAATAATTTAGGTTTAAATTGAGTTCAGATTTGTTAAAAAAAGGTCAGATGTGGGAAAATAAGTTAAATGCTAGACTCTAATAAATATATGAGCCTAACTACTCTTCCGAAGTAAACATTTAAAACAAACCCAAGCTATACCCGATTTCTTTTACCGGTAAACGAACCCTTAATATAAAACTAAGTAAAAGAGGAATAAAATAATGCATCTTTTGTCAAAAATATCAAATATATTTTGAATTTTATTGATTTTTTCCTTGCATGGGTTGTAGCTTGTTGTCGTTAGTTCAACTAATAATCTAAAATTTTCCTTACTACCTTGATCTTGATGTATTATAATACGATTTTTCAATTCAATAAAAAAGAAAATAGTTTTTTAAAAAATAATCATTTAAATATCCATTTTTTTAAAGTATCTTGTTAATCGATAAATTTCTTTTAAAAATGATTTATCTTTCATATTTACATTTTTTTCTCTTATTAATTGACCATCTTTTATGAATCAAATGTTATTAAATAAATAAAATGAATGAATCATTTAAAAACCAATAACATGGATAGGACATGACAATTAGTCTATTCTCTATTGTCATTTTTAAAAAAAATTATTTGAATATCGATCGATATTAGTGACCAATTAATATTTTTGTTTATCAACTATCAAAGGCAACAAACTAAAGTTAATTTTATGATTAATTATATCCCCACCCCCCTTCCCCTCTCTTTGAAAAAAAAAAATTATTTGTCTAAATCTGTATAATGTATAAATTACACATAAAGGACGCGCAAATTTTACATTATATTATGAAATGAATGAGTCCGTTTTTTATATATATAATTTGCAATGTTAGGGGATTGTTTAATTTTTAAGCTAGACAAATATCCTAGAAGTTTTTATATTTGAAAAAAAAGGCGGGAGATGCTATTTTTACGACTTTGGGCAATTTTGAAAATCTTTCTAGACAATATTATCATTCGAATTTGTATAAAATTCTTAAATTGAAGTTGGGAGAAAAATAAAAGAGTGAAGCCTAATTTTAGCATGATTTTTTTTTTAAAAAAATGGGATATATAAATTTTTAAAATCGAATAATATACTATATTTTTTTGTTTGTTTAATTAGAAAATATCAAAAAAGAAATTATAAAAAAAAGATACTCTTATGAAAAAAAGGATAATAAATTTACAAACTTACTACGGTTTAAATGATTTCAATCATTTTATCTTTTATGACTAAATGATTTCGGACAAATAATTACCAAAAAATGAACAAAAATTTCTTAAAAGTGGAAAATCATTCAAAAATATCTTAAAGTGCTTGCAAAAATTTATACGGTAGCAAGTGCAAAAATACTTCTTTGTATTGAATGAAAAGATGAGGGTTTGGTAACTAAAATTAAAAATTTGAATGCAAATAATTTCAGACGTTTATATTTTATTCAGTTTTGTTTACAATTATTAATACAAAAAATAATATATACGGGATCCATTAAATAACCCTCCTTGTTGAATGTTTTAACAATATAGTTTCCAGTTACTTATAATGGATTAGTTGCAGTGGCTTCTACATCTTCCAAAACAATTGTCAATTTAACAAGCCCCCCCCCTCGATGTTTTTAACCCTTTGAAAGTTATTACAAGACGTCTAATGCTATTTTTAGTTTTCAAATATTTTTGTTCATAATTGAGATAATAATGATAAAAACTCAATATTTTACATTTTTTAAAATTTAAGAGATCATATATCTCCTACCACGATTTTTAGGAAATTATTCAAAATGGTTTCCCACATTTTTAGTCTCCTAAAATAAATCTTTTATTGGTTATTAAATTTTATATAATTTTTATCTTAAAATTATAATGGCGGTATATCTAGCATCTTATTAAATTCTACATCTTCCGCTGATAATCGAAATAAAAATTCCCCGAAAGGGGGAAAATAGAAATTATTTTATTTATAAAAGTTGAAAATAGTAATTAATACTTTAAAAAAGCGAAAGCCAGCCCCCCCCCCCCTCCCACCATTTATGGATTACGGCTAAAAATATAATATGCCTAAATTATTAAAATGGTTATTAGAACTACATAATGGCTTCTACCACGGCGTTGTAAGACGCAGGATTGTCAGTAAATATTTGAAACAATTTTTTTAAATGGAGTCCAATCGGAAATACAATAACGGAAATTAAGATAGATGTGGAATAAAGTTTCTCATTTTTAAATTTTTTTTATATTATATTAACTAAGCAAATTAAATTTTGAAACAAGGGCTCGAACGATTTCGACATTTGGTTTTTTATTTATAATTATTATTAGAATAAAATTTATGAAAAATAACTGGTAAATATAATATTATTTGGGTTTTGTTTTTCTTTAAATTTATTTTTTGAGTTTGCTTGACCTTTCAGAAGCAGCCATTTTACCCAAATGGTATTTTTTGGTCTGAGCTTTAGATAAGCCTATTAAGTACTAAAATGTTATGACTAGTTATTAAAGAAAATGGAAGGTCCATTGCAATTTTCCGAATAAATCTAATAGATTATTTTTGAAAATTGCCTCGACCGTTATGGGAGTTAAACGATCCACTGATGCTCGTTGTTTAAAAATACGATTCTGAGATTCCGATACATATCTAGCTTGCATTGAACTTGTTTATTCCTGGACATAAGAAACATTTATATAAATAGCGGCAGTAATGCTCAGGATTGCACAAGCTTTGCGCAGTAAAATACTTATATTTAAATAATGTAAATTCCTTGCAATCATTATTATAACTTTTTGGTGTACAGAGATTTGGTGTGTTCCCGTTATATTTGATTGAATACAATAAGCAAATTTACTTAAAGTCTATTGAATTTGTGCTTCTAATACAATTTTTCTAGATGATTCATTTTTAAAATCCTGAACCTAAAAAAAACAGGAACAAACCGATATCGATTTATAAACCGCAACGATCTGATAAATTCCTTTAAAATAACCGGACAAGCAAACCCGTTTTAAAATTTCAATTAAGAAGCGGAATGGAACTGAACGTTATACCGATCGTTTTGACGACCTGAAAATGAATAATATTAAAGGTCCTATGTGGGGGGGGAAGGGGGGAATCGAACATTTTAGTTATCATTTAATAATAAAAATTTGTTAATATATATTTTATTTTAAAGGAATAAAGGAAGATTGGTTGGACGACGTTTACGACGATTATAATTATAAAGATAAAAATTTACACCAAAGAGAATCTAGAAATTTAGAGTTAAAAAATGATCTACCTATTATTGATAAAGGTAAACTCCAAATGAAATCGAATTATAATGCCAGGACAAAATTCAATCTTAATATTTTGAAAAAAAAAGCTGGGTAACAATTATTTCATTTATATACTTAGCTATGATAAAATTTCATATAACATCTATAATTCATAGATTTCAATTCTATTTTTACATTCAGTCGAGTTCTAAGAAATCTGATTGATAAAAGCGAAAGATTGAGATAAAATTCAAGTGTTTATATTGGCCATGCGTCAAATTTTTAAATTGTATAGTTTATTTATAAAATATTTATGTTAAAATTTCAAAAAAATGGTATTAGAAAAGGTTAACGGTTTAGTTTTTCTTTAAAATATAGAACCTGTTAGTTCGGTCCCATGGTCCGGACCACTTAGTATTAAAATAATTTTGCAATTAAACTAAACAAATTGAGCGTTTCAAACGCTGTGTTGCAAAAAATGCATTTCAAACGCTATCGTGCAAATCGATCAAATTACCGCTTGGCGTTAGAAACCATTTAAAAAGATGCAAACTAGTTTTCAGTCTTATTATTTCACTCAATTTGCATGAATTCGGTTTTTTCGCAAGAAATCCGACAAACCCTTGTTGCCCATATAAGAAAGGGGAGATCACTAAAAATCCCTTTCTAATTTTTTAATGTATGTATATTTAATATACAAAATGTAAACTTTAATACTCCATATTTATAAATTATACCAATTTTTTGTTGACTTTGGAAATAACGCACCTCTTAAAGATAACGCGTTAACTATAAATTCAGCGTGCAATGATAAAAAATATACAAACTATAATATAAAAAATATACAAACTATAATAAAAATAATAGCAAATTCGATAAAAAGATTATCTATTAAATTATTGCTGTGAATAATCAGCTATGATTTCGATGGCTTAAATAATGCAAAGTTTATAGTAAACGAGTTATCTTCAAGCGTTGCATTATTCAACGCAGCGCTATTACAACTGATTCAGTTTTAAAAACTAATTTAAGATATAGCTAAATAAGTGATTTTATATAATATTTAAGAAAACTCATATACTCTATTGAATTAGTATTTTTATAATCGTATCGCATATTTTTTATCAATGCATCGCAACATATTTTTTTTAAATTTTATTATAGCGTTATCATCATAATGCTCTATATTTATAAATTTATACCTATTTATTGGCTTTGTTTTGTAATAATGCTGCGTTAAATAACGCAATGCTTGAACAAAACGAGTTGACTGACTATAAATGTGGCCTTAATTAAAATTTTGAATCGATGATTCTAATAAAAAAAACTCAATTAAACAAGGGATGCGTTACGTTTTTTTTATTAATAAAGTATGGAAAAACAACACTCAATTTGTGCCTAATATTATAATAATGAAAGTGTAATATAAAATTTAATTCGATTTATTTAAAAAGCATTCATTTTTAATTAATCATATTAACCTTTTTTTTAATTTAAAAAAAGAAGATAAAATATAAATTTGATATATTTTCAAAATTCATAAATGAATAAAATGTTAATTTGAAAATATTTTATAGGTATTTATATTTATAATACATTTTTTAAATCATATCTGTATTTACATTCAAGCATTTTTTTAAAGTGTATTTATATTTGTATAAATTTTTTGAAAATTTACCAAACCCTGACAATATGTAATTTATTTATTATTATAATTTTAGATGAATTATAATTATATATTTTAATGATGAAATATTAAATTTCTGTTTTTAAAGATAGATAATATTTATATAATAAATCTTATGTTTGACCTAACCCTTATTTTTTTAGCAGCCATTAGGCAAATTTTTATATATCATTATTAAAATTCTCTTTTTCTCAATTATTTAATATAACATACATATATAAACTATATATAGCTTTTTTTAGTCATATAGTGATTTTTTTTAAAACTTTAAAAAGGACAATGTGACAAAAAAAGTGATATGGATTTAATTTTGAAAAAAATTAATCATTAATTATTTTTGGTTTAACTTTTGAAATTGATGGGTAGCTCAACAATGAATTGGGGGTAATGGATACCTCTTTTTTGGGAAGTTTAAAGAAAGTAAACTGGTTTCAAACAGCTTCGGTTGGTTTATTTATTATTTGTAAATATAAATAAGTGCCTTTTAAATTTAAAATAATTAAAACTCTTTGATTTATTCATAATGGTTTCTTAAGAGCAATAAAAATTTTATTCAGTATTGTTAAGAAAAAAATTCAAGATTGACTTTAGATTTTAATATTCATTTTTAATTTAAAATATTTTAATTAATAAAGTAATCATGATCAAGTAGCAATAAATTTTACTGATTCTATGAAATTTTCTGATGGTAACAATATTTCAAAGCATATATACAAACATTGGATTGATAATATTTATATTAAAATTGAAGATAAATCAAATAAGCTAAATGGAAAAAGTAAAAATTAAATAATGTTATTTATTTATATATAATGTAATTAATTATATGAAAAAGGAAATTGCAATGTAGGGGGAAAATTTCACTTACATAATAGTGAATGGATACCAGGAATTAAATTAGCTTACAATGTTAAAGAATTCAATAATTATCATAATCAAGAAAAATGCATATATTGCACATGCTTAGTAATTAAAGTTTGAATTTGACATTAATTTATACTTAATCTAAACAGAATGGAAATGTAAAATGTGAAAGGAGAGATTGTAAAGATGTTTATTAAATTATTAATACAATAATTTACTGTCTTTATTATTTAAGTGATCTAGACATATAATTTATATAAATAAACATATAATAAAAATTTTATCATGATTTTTTATTATGCGATGATGCACCTTTATTCTTATGTATTTTCATTTTCTTATCTGTCTTTCTTTTACTTTTGCTCTGAATACTCTGGTATAATTTATATGCAATATAACCTATAAAAGTAAATATTAATTGCATACTTTAATATTATAACTAACCAAAAACTGAAAAAATAACAACTCCAGCTATTATCAAGGCATTATTTGATATGCTATTTTCCAAAAACCCACTTTTTCTAGGATCCTTTCCAGATATATCAACCATATATTATTTTAGGATATTACACGAAAACACGTTATGAATTATTCAAGCATATTGGTAAAATGAATGGGTGCATTTCATCGAAATACAAAAAAATCATACCAATTTATCGAAACGAAATATTATTTATTATTGAAATTTATAAAAGAATATTCTTAAATAATTATTTTTAACTGTTTATTATGGAATTAGGAGGTTCTGTGTTCTGGCTCAAGTAGATGTTATATATGCAAATAATAGAATAAGATTAAAAAACTATTATCAAACTTTTCAGCCATATTAATTGAACTAGAATATTAAAAACATCTTATTTCACCAGAAGTTTAATAATATATATTAAATTTTGTTGTCTAAGGATAAATCGAAATTCAATTGATATGAAGAATTAATCTCTCAAATCGATAGTAATCATTTAAGACTTACACTAAGGAATTTAAACTTAAAAAGCAACCTCACACCCTTAAAGAAATCAAGTTATACTGAAGATCTCGGGTATAAGCATTTGTTTTACCCAACTTTTCTTTTATTAGCCGTTTAAATACCAGTTCTCAGATGGTTATGGGGTACTAGTAGGTGCGGTTTGCCCCAATGACATTAATACTGTAGACTGACGATTAATATATTTGAAGTGGCAAAAATTGAAGTGACTGGTGGCCATTTTGTGTTTGTATCTTTTACGAAAGAACCATATGATAATTTCATAAATTTCAGGTATATTTTTATTATGTTTATATTTATAATATATATATATATTCTAATTAAACACCAATTTATTATTTAACTTATATGTTATAGTATATATGAATCAAATAAAGGTCACTACTGAATATGAAGAAAAGAAAGTTAGATGTGATATCTGTTTACATTCCCTAATTGATAATTCCGCAAACGACAATAATTATACATTAATAAAAATTAAGAATTATGGTGGATTGATAATACCATCCCAAAGCGTGTCAAATTTATGCAAAATAACAGAGAGCTCATTCAGGGCTTTTGAAAAAATAGATGAAATAACCAAAAGACATGCTGTTAAAAAAATAGAATGTCTAATATTGTCAAAAATATTAGGCACAAATATCCTTAGTGACCTGCAAGATCATATGTTTGATCAAGAGGCAGGGTTAAGTCATTATCAAATTGTACTTATAATAAAAAGGTATATATAATATTTACTTGATTTTAATAAAAATTTATTTTCAGATGCCTGCACATAAGAATGCATCATTTTGGTAATAAAGTATATCAAAAATTACAATTAATATCCAAAAACTAAACAAGGCTGTACTTTTTCAAGGGCAATAAACCAAGTAATATAAAAATATGTTATTTAACTTAAATATTTATAGGTGAAGAACAAATTATCTGAAAATTTCTAATGACTTTATTGGTTATAATAAATTAATTTTATTAGACATAAATTTAACATATATATATTATTTGTATTTATTATTGATTTATAAGATTAATATTTTCTTTTCGCGATACATATTAATTATAATAATACAATTATTTTATTTGATGTAAATATAACATAATATATATTATTTATATTTTTCATGATATATATTTACATTATTGATTTTTATACTTTAGTGAATTAAATTTAAATAAAGAAATATATTTAGAAATGGATAGTTTATATTTATTAAGGAATAACATAATTATAAGCAAAAATAAAACATAAAAGACATAAGACATAAATTATAAAAATACAAAAGAAATCTAAAATTGATTTCTATAAAAAAAAATATTCATGTATTTTTGAATTAATCTGGCTTCTAGGAAACCTACATGTTATAATTTATTATTCATTATTTTGTTACTTTTAGAAGATACTTTGGAAAATTAAAAATTGGTGGTATTGCTCCCTCTCTTAATTGAACATGATTTGTAACAGATGGAATGAATGAATCTGGTGTAAAATGCTTTGAACATAATCTACTATATTTTGTTACATTGAAGTTCTCTCTCTTCATAGCATGGGTCCACTTTTGTAATAATATTTTATCTTTCATAGGAAATCTGCCATAAATAATTTTTACAATAGAATAATTAATTTGAGATATCATACTTATGAAAGGAAATTTTGCTTCCTCAGCAATATACTACCATTTTAAATCTTTTAGTAATTAAAAAATATTAAATTGAATTCTTATAAAAGATATTCATTATTAAATAATAAATTGCAAATGTTAATAAAGAGCAGAAATATTTCAAGTAAAATATTCAGTAGTAACCTTTATTTGATTCATATATACTATAATAAATAAGGTAAATAATAAATTGGTGTTTAATTAGAATATATATATATATTATAAATATAAACATCATAAAAATATACCTTAAATTTATGAAATTATCATATGCTTCTTTCGTAAAAGATACAAACACAAAATGGCCACCAGTCACTTCAATTTTTGCCACTTCAAATTTGATTTTAGCATTAAGATCTGCAGTCTATAGTATTAATGTCATTGGTTTGCCCACAAACGTGTAGAGGGCTCCTCATTTTTAAGTTTTCATCCAACTATATTTAATTCAATTAGATGGTAATGAGGTATACTTAACGTAGCTCTGTTGAACGTTCATCGAATGAGGGTATAAGCTCTATAAATTATGGATCACGTACATTTATAAAACACCAAAATAAACAGAACTAAGAAATGATTAAATTTATCATTTTTCAAGTATTTTTTGTAATTTATAAAAATAAAATTTAAAACAATTATTTTACATTTATATTTATTAGATTAAGATTAACATTTTATTTTAAAAGATATAAATTTCAAAGGGTAATAAATGAGGTGGTCGTTATTATTTATTGAAACTATTTAAGCTGGGTTTGATTTTTGCTAGGGTTTAATTTAAATAATGTCAAAAAATTCGATCAAAATATTGACTAAATTTATAGAGGAATATTATACTTTACCAATTATTATTAGAAAAACCTATATATTAATTAGACCGAAAATTATTTTTTTATAACATAATAGTTTTGATTCCTAAAATATTGAAAATGGGCTTGGGCAGCATCTACATACAGGATATTTATTAGATGCAAACACCCTTAAAAACCTATATGTACTACCCTCACACATTTTGAATTACACGTTTTTAATTATGGTACTATCTTCATATATTTTAAAATTATCAATACTCTAATTCCAACTATAAAAAAAAAGTCAATGTATAAGTGTTATTATTTAGAACTTGAATTATTAAAAACTTCCCCATTTACGGATGCAATGTATTATTATAGAATATTGTTTGGCATGAGTTTGCTAATAGAATGTCAAACCCTATTAAACATTTGAATAGATATCAGAAAATTATCCAGAAATAAGCTTTATATGAAAAATAAAGACTATGAATGTATGCAATAATCGGTCAATATTTAACAATATCATTGTATTATAATAAGTCTGTAATAAAAGCATTAAATAATTTTTAAAGCACATATAAAAATTGAATAGATAAACGCCTAATAAATTATACTACCTCTAGCCTACACCCTCCTTAAATGTCTACCCCCTATCCCCATTTAAAAAATTGGAAGCAAAATGTCCCTACCACTCTTCCTCTCGGGCTCATGTAGATGCTGTGTTGATTCTGTTTTGGACTTATGTGACAGAGAGAATTGTGATTCCAAAATATAAAGCGATAAAAAATTAAAAACAATAAATAAACTCACTAAAATGAATTCCACTTATGGGATCTTCTTGGATATGTCTTGATTTTTTTTCTTGTACCGAACTACGATATTAATTCTATTTGAAATTTTAGCATTATATATTGTATAAATAATATAGTCAGAATTTTTTGATTGTGGTGTTTTAGATGGATATTAAATTCGTATCCATATTTACAAATAGTGTTGTTAAACGGCTCGATTTTTAAAAACTGCTAGCCTAAAATTTTGGCCAAAAATATTAGGCAAGTCTGGAGATGGTTTGGGCTAAACGAAATATTTAGGGTTATTTAATATTTTTTGGCTAAAATATTGGGTTAGCCGTTTTTACAAATCGAGTATTTACAATATCTGTAAAAATAAATTTAAATTTACCAATTTTTAAATTATCCATTCAATCAAAATCATTTTTACAACCTAATATTTTTACATATATATACGAATTAAATAAGTATCATGGCCCAGTTGTAATAATTTCTTCAACATTTCCTTTTAAAAAATCTTGCATTTCTTTAAAATGAATGAGCCATCATTCTAATAAAAATAAATTTTGTTCTGTTTACACATATAGCTTAGTTCTGTAGGTTAAATATTAAATAAGGCTTGTTAATCGATCCTTTTTAAAAAATCGAATCCCGATCACGATCTTGTGAAAAAAAGAGGATCGAAATCTAGGATCGACCTTTTTTTAAAAAAGGATCGCGATCAATATCACGATCCTTTTCTTATTTAAATTTCTGATCGATGCAAAATTAACTAATATAAAAAATAAATAAATATGGTATAAATTTATTGTGATTGAATAATATAATATAAATATAACAATTAGAATATATTTATTTATAATTAAATTAATAATTTTTTTTCTAAATTATCATTATTTAAACAAACACGTTTTTCATTAAGTGCATGTTTAGCTTTACTAAACAAGCTCTCCACAGGAGCCCTTGATGGTAAAGGTGTGATATTTAGACATGTGCGCCGTCGGTGATTTTTGACCAGGCCGACGCCGCGACCAAAAATGTGTCGGCGCTCAACACGCCGCCGCCGATGTAAAAATTCGGCGGCGTAGCGGCATGTTACATATTTTTTATTATTAAAAATAATATTTATTTTATATATTATTTATGAATTTTAACTAAAAGAAAAATAATATTAAATATTTTTTGAATTATTAAAATGTGATTTTAATTTTTAAAATGAATAAATATTATATTTGATTTGTAACAATCCATATAATACACGTTTGCTCACTTTGGGCAGGTCTGTGACCAATGTGATAGATAAGATAATATTAGGATGGTAAAACAGAAAAGGTATTGATATTATTATATATTTTATTATTTTAATCTTAATTTTTATTTTAACTGTTAAAATATCTAATTATTTTCTAATAGAATATTTAAATAAAACTGATCTCATCCCACATTTAGAATTTTTTATGGCATAATATTTTTATTATTAACTTTTTATTATGTAGAAATATGGCATTATTTCAGATACAAAAGATTTACCAGATAGAACAACACTTATCCGGAGTGGATTAGATTATTAATATTTATCAATAAAGCATACATATGTCAACAAATTAATATAGGTCCTAAATTTTGTGCTATAACTTTTGATATGTGGATCGACAAATATAGACGGCAAAATTATATTACCTTTACATTTCACGAAATAGAAAATATTTTAATATTGTATTTTATACATTGCCGAAGAATTAGTTTAGAGGAGATAAATGTAGACATTAGGATAAAGTTGGTATATTTATATATTTTATTAGTATATTTGAATTAGATAGTTTATTTTGGAGAATAAATATAAAAAGTGATAAAATATTTCAGAAGTTATTTAAATAGATTATTTTAGGTAGAAGTAGATTAGATGTGATTACCTGAAACCTTAAGATAAAGTCGATATCTCAGCAAAGGCAGACTGTCGTAGAAGACCCGGAAGTCTAAAAGATAGATACGATTACAAGAATTAGAGGCAACAACCAATCGATTACAAGAGATAATAGAAAACAAGCTAATTGATAAAAAGATGGTCAAGACGTTATGCTGCAATAGTTAATCGGGGACCAATAATAGCCAATTATTACCGAGACTTTAGTCTAAGATACGGAAATCGACAATCATAGGAACAAGAATTCGTGAAAACCATCGTTTATCGCAGACCAATCAATTGTTTATCGAGATAAAGAGCTAATCGTGGATTACAAGAGAATGATAGAAAACAAGCTACGATAAATTTTGAAAAAGAAACTGGATGTCATCGATAATCGTTCATCAAGCGTGGATCGTGGAAAACAGGCGTTTATCAAGTTCGTTAGTCGCCTACAGAGATAAAAGCTGATCGTTTCCCAGGGTGACAAGCGACAGAAGATAGAACTCAAAAATTTCAAGCGATGATTGGATACAAACGGTCGTTCGAAACCAAGTATACTAGACAAGAGGCAGCCTTCGTTAGAACTTAGAAGACAGCAAAGATTAAGAAGAATAGATATGGTGTATATACGAGGTCAGTAAAGTCGAAATCGAAAGAAGATTGATTATTCGCAGAATGTTGGGTCTAATTTAAGTGGGGAGG